CCTGCGGGCCATGATTGTGCCACTGTACTTCAGCCTGGGCAACAGAGCAAGACCATGCCTCAAAAAACAAAACAAAACAAAACAGGAAAGACAAGGAGGAGGGAGATTACATCTTGCTTTTTTCCCCCTACACTTTAATTAAAATTCAGCATTTCTTTCCATAGTGAATGTTGCTGGGAACAAACCTCATTAGTGTTAGCAGCACCTGTTACCTTGTTACCAATAGAAATCAGATATTTTCATGTTAACTGCAGCTGTTGCAGACATCTTGAGATACCATTTTTGTTCATCATTACCTCAAAATTATAGTAATTAGACCCAACTCTGGATCTTGTCATTTAACGTGCCAGTAAAACATATCATGTAATATCACAAATATTTTCATAAACTCTATTTCTATATGATTTATATCTATCACTCTCCGTATTTTATTTCGTGCACTTAAAATAAAAATCTGAGGCCAGGCCAGGCGCGGTGGCTCACGCCTGTAATCCCAGCACTTTGGGAGGCCGAGGTGGGTGAATCACGAGGTCAGATCGAGACCATTCTGGCCAAGATGATGAAACCCCATCTCTACTAAAAATACAAAAATTAGCCCAGCATGGCGGTGGGCTCCTGTAATCCCAGCTACTCAGGAGGCTGAGGCAGGAGAATCGCTTGATCCCAAGAGGCGGAGGTTGCAGTGAGCTGAGATCGCCCCATTGCATTCCAGCCTGGGCGACAAGAGGGAGACTCTGTCTCAAAGAAAATAAAAAGAATCCCAGCTCCCCTGCTTGTTGTTCCTGTGACTTCACTGTGTCTGTTTCTCCGTCAATAAAGACAGAAGAGAGAAAAGATACCTGCCTGGTAAGTTTCGGCAATTCTAGAGCTAATCTGTGTGGTGTGGTGGCCAGGAGGCTCCGTGCACACGCAATCAATATCAACAGCCATCATGATTCACCCACAGCTGCAAGTCATCCCCAGCACTGGGAAGTCCTCAGAACTCAAAGTCCCTGTCCTTAGCAGAATTTCCCTGTCCTAGGTTCTCATCTCTCAAGAGACTGCTTTTCCTATAGCGCATAGATGGTAAGTTATCCCACAAATGACTCTCTACTGAAGGTGCTCAGCCTGGCTTGCCTTTTCAGGAAGCAGGTTGAGGTTTCTCCAGGAAGCTGCTCAGAGGTAGTGTCTCTCCCGCTGTTGCGACGATGGCCGGCTGAACGTGCCCTAACCGAGCACTGACTCTCTTGCTTCTTTTGAGCCTGTGCAGCAGCCGTGTTCGTTGCCAAGTGCTGCCGGCAGAGCTTGGTGGCAGAACGCCAAAGTGTGTGTTTCAGTAAATGCTCGTCACGTGCCCGCGTTAGTCTATGCACACTACATTTTCATAGCCCCAAGTTATTTCATTAATAGGCCTGAACTAGTTCTATAATGTTGGGGAGTGAAGAATGAATGATCCTATTTCTTTTTTCTGTTTGTCTTTCTCATTTTTCCACTGTGTCCTGTGCCTAGAATAGTGCTTGGCACAGGTAGATGCTTAGTAGCTATATTTTATTTTATTTTTTATTTTTATTTTTGAGACAGAGTCTTGTTTTATCGCCCACGCTGGAGTGCAGTGGCGTGATCTCGGCTCACTGTAACCTCCGCCTCCTGGGTTCAAGTGATTCTCCTGCCTCAGCCTCCTAAGTGGGACTACAGGCGCCCACCACCACGCCCAGCTACTTTTTGTAGTTTTTATAGAGAGAGAGTTTTGCCATGTTGGCCAGGCTGAGCTGGAGCAATGCTCCTCCCACCTCATGGAGCCTCCACCCACCACGGCTGTCGGTTTCCCCTAATCCTAGGAACTCCCGCCCCGAGGGAGGCAGGATAGACAGCGCCTGTGTCCCACTCTGCTCATTTTCAGATGAGGAAACAGTCACCAAGGTCCCGTGCAAACTCCCCGCCCACCCAGCAGCCCACACCCCTTGCCTTGTTCCAGCTTCCCGCTCGCCAGCTGGCGTTCCTGGCAGCCAGCAGGTCCACCGGGGCTCCGCCTCGGCCGGGCTGGGGCCAGGGGCTGGGCCTCAGGGACTCTGCTGTTGGGGTTGTCCCAAGCTGGCATAGATAGAAGCCCAGAGCTCAGCGGCACCTCAGGGCTGAGGGGCTCAGGCTGGTCCTTGGGTCCTGGGCTCTAGGCAGTCACCCAGGGTGTGTGCCTGAGGCCAATCAGGGTTGTGGGGAGGAAGGTCCCTGGCACTGCCACAGTCTGCAGGCCCCATGAGCCTGGTCCTGGGGTTGGGAAGGTGGGAGTCTCTGGCTCCAGGAGGCTGTCCCTGCCCATAATTTCTGGCAGAGTGCCCATGGGAGGAGGGGGAGGAGCCTCAGCTCACTGTCCACAGGCCCCAGGCCGCCCTCCAGAGCTGGCTTCCAGGCTACAGTCCCTCCTGTCCACAGCTCCACCATGTCAGGACCAGGAGAGGAGTGGGTGCTGTCGACAGGACAGAGGGCAGCGTGGGGCTGGGCCTCTGGGGCTGGTGGGGTGCTCCGTGGCCCACGGGTTCCTCATCATCCTTGGAAACCTCATTGGTCCTGTCCCACAACGGAGGGGGCAGCTGTCTCTGGCTGTCCTAGCTGACTAGGAAGTCATTTTGGCTCCAGGCGCAGCAGGCGTCTGCGTGCCATCAACAGAAACCCTGGGCCAGGGCAGGCTGGAGAGCCCAAGGTCTGGAGCCTCTATAGGGGCGTCTTCCTCTGGCAGGAAATTGACCAGAGGGTTCCCAGGGGTCTGCTCTGAAGGTGGGGATGGGGAGTGGTTGGCCTGGCTGGGCCAAGGGCTAGCGGACCAGGGTCCCAGTACCCCCTCCTCCTCGGCTGCAGGAGGCCCTGTGGCAGGCATGGGGCTGCCAGTGGAGGGCGCAGCAGGACGGCTGCGCAGTGGGGGTGTCCAGTCCCCTGACCCTGCCAGGTCTAGATCAGGCCCATTGAAGGGCCCATAGCACAGATCCTCATGGAGGTGAATGAAATTGTAGTCATACTATAAGTTGTATACAAACACACGCCCCGGCGGGCCCAGCTCTGGGGCCTCCTCCTCAATGGCATTGCCATGCTGGCTGGTTCGGGTGATGAGGTGGGTGAAGGGCGTGGGGCCAAGAGGCACGGGATGAAGTCAGCCTTGCTGAAGAGCTCGTGGCTGGAGGAGCCGCTGCCTGAGCCTTCAGGGCCCAGTGTGTCCAGAGGCCGCCAACAGGGTGGCAGAGAGCAGGTGACTGCGCTGGCTGGCTGCTGGGCCTCATCACAGGGACACTGGTATCATCGGTGCAGAGGACACTTCGGTGCTGAATGCTCTCCCCGCATGTCACTGAGCACTGCAGGGAAGCCAGCGGAGGGGCTCAGGCTGGGAGGCAGGCTGCCAGGGGACGCTGGGGCAAGGTTGGGTAACCTGTCCACTGCCCGATGTCAGAGCGGCAGAGACCCCAGCCAGCCCCCTCTTTGGCCATGCCCAGCTCAAGGCCACGGCTGTGGCCACAGCTTGCCAGCAGCTTCCTGACCCTTAGGCTCTGGAGTCAGAGTCTGGACCTTGGAATCCCCCAGGCTCCCTCCCACCCATGGTACCAGGCAATAAACGCTCCAGGAAGGCTGTCTACCTCCCTGCAGCCCAAGACCAAGGGTGGAGCTGGAGGCGGGCCCCTTCTCATCCTGAGACCAGTTCCCCGCAGCCCAGGTGGCCCAGGGAACATGGTGGTTGCAAGGGGTTTCAGCAGGAGACTGGGGATGGTGTTCACAGGCGGGTGGCTCCAGGGGGCTCTGCTCATCCAGCCCCACACTGGGATGCAGAGCACTGCCCAGCGGGAGAGGCCCCTGCCCACCTGGCAAGGGCACACAGGTGGCATCAGCAGGCTCACCAGCAGGGAGGGCCAGGCCAGGCTCCCAGACCCTCAGGGTTTGGGCAGAGCTGGGACTGAGGCCAGTCGATGATTCTCTAGAGCTCCAAGCCCAGGTCGGTGTCCTGCCTCCAAAGCCTGGTTACACAGCACAGTCCCTCCACTCTCGCAACCCTCTCCTCAGGGGAACTGAGGGCGACTGGAGGCCTATTTCCACATCCAGGGACCCAAAGAGGAGGACCACAGGTGTCCGGGCTGGCCCAGGCTGGGGTAAGCAGCAACCCAGGGCTAGGACTTCAGCCTTAGGAAGAGTGAAAGCCTGGCTCCCTCTGCTCCTCTCCAGGGCCTCCGGGGACCCAGATGTAGGGGCCTGTGGCAGACCCAGTACATCTAGGGGTAGGGATTTGGTGGGTGTGTGCTTAGGGGAGACTGAGGGGCAGGGTGGAGACCAAGGGGCAGCAGGGAGCGGCATGGGGGGATACTGAGGGGCAGGGCAGAGACCGAGGGGCAGCGGGGAGGGGCATGGTGGGGAGACCGAGGAACAGCAGGGAAGGGGAGGGGCAGTGGGGAGGGGCATGGAAGGCACATCACAGGCACCCTCAGCTAAGGCTCTGGGAGTGGGGAGTCAATCCCCTCCCTCCCTCCCAACGTTTTTCTTTTTTTTTTTTTTTTGGGACAGGGTCTTGCTCTGTCATCCAGGCTGCAGTGCAGTGTTGAGATCATAGCTCACTGCAGCCTTGACCTCCTGGGCTCAAGGGATCCTCCTGCTGCAGCCTCCCAAGTAGTTGGAATAACAGGCACATGCCATTGTACCCGGCTGAATTTTTTCTTTTTTGGTAGAGGCAGGGTCTTGCTATGTTGTCCAGGTTGGTTTCAAATTCCTGGGCTCAGGTAATCCTCCCACCCCAGCCTCCCAAAGTGCTAGGATTACAGGTGTGAGCTGCCGCACCTGGCCCAACGTCATTTTCAACCAGGACACTCCACCTTGCTCCTGTGCTACGAACAACATCCCAATTCATCACAACTGCACATCAGGCCCCAAACGCACATTAAATCCATGTCCATCTACAGTTACCACAATTCAAATGTCCATCAATGTTATACCACAAACTCTGACTTACAATGACTTATTACCAAAGCTTTCAGGAAAAAATGTAGGCAATGCCATCTGCTGCAAGTGTTTATTCTATTTAGAAGTCTACAAATTTGAGCTTTTAAGAAAGATTCACAAAATATTCATTCAAAACCACATTTTTGGCTTATCAGATTTCAAATATATTTTACTGTGCTGAACAATATATTCTAATGCTGTCTAAAACACAGCTAAATTATTTTTCTTTATTCGTTTATACACATTCTGTAATTTTTGAAAAGCAAGGTTTAAAAATATTAACAAAACTACCCAATTACAATGACTGTTCTCCCATACATGGAACTATTCTCTGTAGCTGTATCTTCTTACCTCACTCCATTTTAATTCTGTATACCACATCGATTTATAAACACCCTTAGGGAGTTCTCATCTTCCATTTCTCATCAATTCAAACAGCAACACCTTTTACAAGATAACATTAATCCCCTTGGCAAGGCAGCTTACATTTGTTAAAAGCACTCACTGAAAAATATTTTTAAATTTATAGGTCATAGAAAATAATTTACAAAGAGACAGATGACTTCAAATATTATTTGGCAGTCACCTTACTATGTAGAAACATAAATGAAGCAACCTGTCACAGGAGACACCCGTCACTTTGGTCTTTTGAAGGACATGTGTGTGGTGAGCGTTGTTTCTGCAGGTCCATCTGGCATCTTTTGATTCTGGCAGCCCTGAGCCCACGTGTCACATGGAGACCTCTCCTCCCCTACGTGAAGCCTCCTGGTTCAGGAGCAGGAGGAGCCGATGTCTCCAGGCCCTCAGTGTTGAAACCAAAGGTTCCAAGAAAATAAAGCAAGGATATACGTGGAGACGCCAAAGGAGGGTGTGGCAGGAAGGAACACGAAACAGAAATCACAGTAAAGCTCCTACTACATCAGAACTCAGAATTTCTCAAAAGAAATATTAAAAATCAGAAACATATACCATATGAAAAAGTAGCAAAACAATCCGCAAAACTATCTGGTCTTCACTGCCGCCTGTTGCGTGGTCACTGGTTCATTTACAGAAGAATTTCTCCAGGAAATACATATCACGACTTCAGTATTAAGAACCATAGCGATCCTGAAGAGAGAACCAAAACGGAAGTTTACGACCATTCAGCAGCGATCCCTGACTCCTGCGCCCTGAATATTCACCATCACCAAAACTGACACTGCAGCCGGTGTCGGGCATGTGACATGAACACTACACCGCGAGGGTGTGCTCATCTGGAAGCAGCCATTGCTGCAGCTTCAAGGCTGAGGGCAGGTGTGGGCTTCAGAAGCCAACAGGATTCACATCCTGTCTCTGGCATCCATGGCCACAGTCCCGGGATCGGGAGGCAGGGAGCAAAGTGTCTGGGCGGGAGGATGCTCAGTGGGCCGGAGGCTACTTGCTGAGCCTCTGGGAAACAAGTGTGATGGGCAGGACAGAGGAACACACTTGGTGTTTGAAGCCCTGAAATTTCGGCTCAGCTGGTCATCTTGCAGAAGTGACCTAACCTGTGCCTCAATTCCTTCACCTGTAAAATGGGGATATAAAACGGAGTCATCTCTAAAATGGGGATGACCATCTATAAAATAGGGATGTTACCTATATGGAGACTGATGTGGGCTTAGCTGACCTGAGGGACATGAAAGAACTCTGTGAATTTTAACTTCAGAGTCAAATGAAAGGGAAGACTGTGCTATTCACAGTGTGAAAACAGCTACATCAAGAGTCCTGGGACTAAGGGAACTCTCCAGAACGGGAGGCACCTCCATGCCCTCCTTAACCTGCAGCCAGAGCAACATCTGCCTGGGGCCAGGAACCCCCTTTAGAGGCACCACAGTCCACATGGTTCCAGTCCTACTTCCTTTAGCAGCATCTTTAATAGAATCCTTCTTCAATGGCCTGATGTAAACAAGAAGGTACAAAGAAACGAGCCATTCATATCGTCAGAGATGGCCTCGACTCTTATGTGCAAGTATGTGCCATCCTTGGCTTATGTTTTCACTCGATAGAATGTGGTTTTAGAAAAACTTCTGATGACATGGAAATGCTCCTAACATCACAGAGAAAAAGCAAGATATAAAACCCTATATACAATATAATCCCTTTTTGATTTTAAAAAGATATGTATATCCTTTTTATCTATGAATAGAAAAATATCCTTAGAAATCTAGAGCTAAAAATATACCATAATATTAAGAGGTTATCCCTGTGATGTGGCATTACAGATAATTTCAATTTTCTTAATACTTACTTCTCTGTTCCAATCTAGGGAAAAAAAACTGCATAATGGTCATGACAATTCCTCTAACAATTCCCAGAGAGTCATACATTAGAAAATATTAAATATAAAATTATAATTTCTGGTTTTCATAATGTCCTGGGTTATACTGTAGCAAACACATCGATCCAATAACATATAATTGAATTTTCCAGCAGTTGAAGATTGAAGTAGGTCTCATTTTCAAACTGCTGAATCTACTACCATCATAGCCAGTGAGCACCGCCCCATTCCACTGACCTGAATTGAAGTCACGACTCCATTAGCAAAGACGGAGAGTTTTCCAGCAACGGACCTCACTCCCTGCTTGAATTGCGCCATGTCAGGGGCACTGGGCAGCACGTTGGACAGGCTGTAGTTCCCTGCACACACACAGAAGCTGGCTCATTACTGCCATGGCCATGGCTGCGGCAAACCCTGTGCCCAGAGTGCTCAACGGCTTCAGAGAACCTGGATGTCTCCCCTCCTGCCGCCTCACAAGGAGCCCAGCAGTGGGATGGAGACTCGGGCTGAAGTGGCAGCCCTGCCACGATCCACATGAGAGAATCCACATGAGAGAAGATGTAGTATGGGGGACTTAACACCACCATGAGTTCAAATCCTGGCACTGCCACTTCCAGGCTATGTGCCTCTGGAGAATTTAGTTCCTTGCTCTCTCTGGGCCCCTTTCCTCAAGGTGCTTAACATAGCCCTGGCAGGTAAGTACCCAGCAAAAGGCAGATGGGCCAACACGGATGGCCTCTTTCACATCGCCTCCTCCCTCTTTTGGTAACAGTACTCCTCCCTTCCTCCGGGAACCACCTCTCCCTTCTACCCTGTCCACAGGCATGGGCTCATGACCCAGGCCTGACCAATCAGAGCCTTCCCTGGGATGCACGTATCCTCAAATGAGAGGAGCCATTTGCTTGCTCTGGGGTTACTGGCAGGGACGAAGCAAAGCAGCAGCCATCTGTGACTAGGACTGCCCCTCCCACTCGCTTGGGGGATGGAGGAAGCTTGTTTCCTCCCCCGGGAGGTGAGCCACATGGATACATCACTGATGCTCTCTGACTGTGACTTAGAAGCCGAGCTCCACTGCCAGTCTTCCCAGGTACAGAAGTTGACACTTCCACCCTCTCTGCTAGGACCGGTGTTAGTGGGTTACTGTTGCTTAAGTTTTGGTTGCCCTGACATAAACATCACCATAATTGCTACCAATGTGGGTGAAGTTCATCAGGGTTATCACACATAAAGGAGGTCTGACCACACTCCTAGAGCTGACAATCAGGGGTTCATAAACTTCTGTGTCACAATTGTAATAAGACGCTGCAGGGGCTCAGTGAGCTCAACACAAACCCTGAAGGTCCTCAGAAGTAGCCACACCTAGCTATGCCCTAAGCCCCACATGACACCACCTGTTCCTTACAAAACAGAAACCCACTGGACACAGTGGCTCACGCCTGTAATCCCAGCACTTTGGGAGGCTGAGGTGGGTGGATCACTTGAGGTCAGGAGTTCAAGACCAGCCTGGCCAACATGGTGAAACCCCATCTCTACTAAAAGTACAAAAAATTAGCTGGGCATGGTGGCGGGCACCTGTAACCCTAGCTACTCAGGAGGCTGAGGCAGGAGAATCACTTGAACTGGGGAGGTGGAGGTTGCAGTGAGCCAAGATTATGCCACCCCACTACAGCCTGGGTGACAGAGTGAGACCCCATCTCAAAAACAATAACAAAATAGAAATCCTTGGTCAAGTCCCTCTCTGAGAACAAAACAGAACTGACAAGTTACCCTGCAATGTGTCCCTTGGAAGAGACACTGCATTTGCCCACAGCACTGTTCTCATGCCTACCACAGATGCAGGTCCTCCCATCTCCATCTCCAGCTGACTATGTAAAATCTTGTAGGCCTTCGCCAATGACAGAGTAGAATTCCAACACAGTGATGGGACTGGGGTGCTGTGTCTCCTCTGAGGGCTGCCTGGGCAGGCTGGAGGGGCCAGGTGGCCATGGTCAAAGACAGCCCTAGTGCGCTCAGGTTACACAATGAGCTCCAGGAAATGACAGCTCCAGCCACCTGCTCAGGAAAAGTGTCCTTGACCCAGGGAATCTCTCGTCCCTATCTGTTCTCAGAACACCCACAGTGCGTACTGAGGACACCACCACAGACCCGCTTTTCCACAGCTCACCACCTACTAAGGAAAGCAGACAATTAACTGATAACACCACTAAAGTGTGACCTGTGTCATGTGGAAGGGACACAGAGCAAACTCAGGTAAACAGCTTGGAGGTGGCTGCAGGGGTCCAGGTGCATGGGGCGGTACCTGAGCCTGAGCAGGTGGCAGTGGGGATCGGGAGGGAACGGGCTGAGCGTCCTCAGGAGGCAGGTGTCAAGAGACACACTGACTGACGCCGAGGCAGGCTGGGAGGCAGGCGGATTAAGGATATTTCCCAGGTTTCTGCTTGAGCAGCCAGGAAGAAGACAGCGGCTCCCCTCTCTGAGACAAAGGGGACGCTGAGCTACACAGTGGTCCGTGGTTGCGGCAAATGCCCTGGATGAGTCAGGACAGGACAGGTGACGCTGAGCTAACAACCACCCACAACTGATGTTCGCTGTGCCCAGTGCAGGTGGGCAGGGGGTTCTGTACATCACAGCCACTTGCGGTCCAAGCCCACGGGGCTACCTCTTAATTCCAGCTTCCTTGCCTACTATGACAGGGAATGAAACATGGCAACACGCACACAGCTCTCAAGGCTTGTGCTGGAGGCGGAACACATCGCCACTGCAGCCTGGCACTGGCCATGGGACACGGGAGGTAGTGGGAGGCGTGTTCCAGCCTATGCTGGCCGGCGGGCAGGCGCTCAGACTCAGCAAGCTCCTGGGGCCATTCATCATCCCTCCACCCATTCATCCTCAAACACCTGCAGAGGGCTTCCTCTGCCAGGCTCTGTCAGGTGCCAAGGGCACAGAAAGGAGAACTGACGATCCGCTGGGGGAGATGGTCATCACATGATCTTGCCCTCGGTGTAAGGCACAAGAGTGGTGCAGGGGGCACTAACCAGGCCCCCAGGGCAAGTACGGGTTGAGGGGCTGTCTGGGGGAATGGGGAAGAGAAGCATTCTGGGCTGGGGGCTCCACAGGCTCAACACCGCTGGAGCAAGTCACAGCAGTAAATCACGAGAAATGAGGCTGGAAAGGCCAACGGAACCATGGTCCTGGAGGTGAGTGCTGGGTGGGGAGCTGTGCTTCAAGCTCTCGAGGGCAGGATTTTCAGCACGGATGACTGTGTTTCGAAACATCATTGTGGGAGGAGTGAGGAGAGGGGTGAGCAGCAGCCAAGACCGGAGCAGGAGGACCAAGCAGGGGGTTGTGGCCACGCTTCACGTCTGGGGTCATCCAGGAGAGACTCCGATCATATGGGTCTATGGTGTGACAAGGGAGGTGGAAGGTTCCAGGACAACTCCCAGGCTCCTCAAAATAAGATCTTTTTTTTTTTTTTTTTTTAAGACAGAGTCTTGTTCTGTCGCCGAGGCTGGAGTGCAGTGGCACAATCTCAGTTCACTGCAAGCTCCACCTCCTGGGTTCACGCCATTCTCCTGCCTCAGCCTCCTGAGTAGGCGGGACTACAGGTGCCTGCCACCACGCTCGGCTTTTTTTTTTTTTTTTTTTTTTTTTTTTTAAATTTTTTAGTAGAGACGGGGTTTCGCTGTGTTAGCCGGGATGGATGGTCTAAATCTCCCCACCTTGTGATCCATCTGCCTCAGCTTCCCAAAATGCTGGGATTACAGGCGTGAGCCACCACGCCTGGCCCAAAATAATAATTTTCTTTTTCTTTTCTTTGAGACGGAGTCTCGCTCTGTTGCCCAGGCTGGAGTGCAGTGGTGAGATCTCGGCTCACTGCAAGCTCCGCCTCCCAGGTTCACGCCATTCTCCTGCCTCAGTCTCCGGAGTTGCTGGGACTACAGGCACCCGCCACCACGCTCAGCTAATTTTTTGTATTTTTAGTAGAGATGGGGTTTCACCGTGTTGGCTAGGATGGTCTCGATCTCCTGACCTCATGATCTGCCCACCTCAGCCTCCCAAAGTGCTGGGATTACAGGCGTGAGCCACCGCGCTCGGCCCAAAATAAGAATTTTAAAAAGAATACCAGTTCTTTTTTTTTTTTTTTTTGAGACGGAGTCTCGCTCTGTTGCCCAGGCTGGAGTGCAGTGGCCGGATCTCAGCTCACTGCAAACTCTGCCTCCCGGGTTTAAGCCATTCTCCTGCCTCAGCCTCCCGAGTAGCTGGGACTACAGGCGCCCGCCACCTCGCCCGGCTAGTTTTTTGTATTTTTAGTAGAGACGGGGTTTCACTGTGTTAGCCAGGATGGTCTCGATCTCCTGACCTCGTGATCCACCCGTCTCAGCCTCCCAAAGTGCTGGGATTACAGGCTTGAGCCACCGCGCCCGGCCTAAGAATACCAGTTCTAATCTCTCTGCTTCGTGGAGACAAATGAAGAGAAAAAGTAATTCCAAGATTTTAAGAACAAGTTTGGGCATTGTTTGTTTGTTTGAGACAGGGACTCACTCTGTTGCCCAGGTTGGAGTACAGTGGTGTGATCATGGCTCACTACAGCCTCAATCTTTTGGGCTCAAGTGATCCTCCTGCCTTAGCCTCCTAAATAATTGGGACTACAGGCGTGAACCATCACACCTAGCTAATTTTTTTATTTTTTAAATTTTTTATAGAGATGGGGGTCCCACTATGTTTTCCAGGCTGGTCTGGAACTCCTGGGCTCAAGCAATCCTACTTTGGCCTCCCGAAGTGTTGGGATTACAGGCGTGTATCACTGTGCCTAGCCAAACAATGAGTTTAACAACAAAAATTGCTCCAATGGCTACTTCTCAGATAGGCGTAACAGATACCACTTTGCTAAATACATGCCACTCTGGTTTAACTGAATCTCTGTTGGCAATGCCACTGCACAGCTATACTGTCTGACAAGCACATGTGGCAATAACCAAACCGGACTGCCTGACTGCGGACTGAGGGTAGTGCTTTTGAGGCCACACTCCCAGACCCTGGGCCGGAGCAAGGAGAAAAGGAGACAGTGGTCAAGGGACCCCGCAAACAACCAGCCACTTGACCCCACAATGCACACAAGGAAGGGTGCAGGTGTCTGCACTGCCACGCAGACGTGCTCTCATTCAACAATCAGAATTGGCTTTCTGGAAAGAGACATGCTGAGGGGACAGCTGGGTTTGAAGCTTTTTGTTGTATCCTGGCTCTCACACGCTGCCTCCACTCCGTCATCTGGTGTCTGAGTGCCTCACACCTGCCTGAGGCAGTGCCCAGTTGATGGCAGTCCCCCAGCTCCAATGACCCTGTCCCATGGGTGTGGCCACAGGGACTGCTGCTGTGCCAGGTCAGGTTGGCTGTGGGCGCTTACATGTGCTTCCCACTCAATCCTTCAGCTACAGTGAAACAGAGTGCCCGTAAGAACGGCCGCAGGGTTCCTGGGCTAGAAACAGCCCCGGAAAGTAGCTTACCTCACCAGAAGCATTTCAAATGTGGAAATTAAGATAAGGAATACAGAATGGCTTCTTTTTTCTTTCTTTCTTTTTTTTTTCGATACAAGGCCTGGCTCTATTGCCCAGGCTGGAGTGCAGTGGCACGATCTCAGATCACTACAACCTCTGCCTCCTGGCCTCAAGTCATCCTCCCACCTTAGCCTCCGGAGTAGCTGGGACTACAGGCATGCACCACCACGCCTGGCTAATTTCTGTATTTTTTGTAGAGACACAGTTTTGCCATGTTGCCCAGGCTGGTCTGGAACTCCTGAGCTCAAGTGATGCATCCTTCTCAGCCTCTCAAAGTGCTGGATTACAGAGGTGAGGCACCACGCAGAATAGTGTCTTTTTTTCTTTTCTTTTTTTCTTTTTTTTTTGAAACAGAATCTCATTCTATTGCCCAGGCTGGAGTGCAGTGGTGCAATCCAGGCCACTGCAACTTCCCCCTCCAGGGTTCAAGCAATTCTTGTGCCTCAGTCTCCTGAGCAGCTGGGATTACAGGCACCCACCACCATGCCTGGCTATTTTTTTTTTTTTTTTTTTTTTGAGACGGAGTCTTGCTCTGTCGCCAGGCTGGAGTGTAGTGGTGCGATCTCGGCGCACTGCAACCCCCGCCTCCCAGGTTCAAGCAATTCTCCTGCCTCAGCCTCACAAGTAGCTGGGATTACAGGCACGTGCCACCACGCCCAGCTAATTTTTGTATTTTTAGTAGAGATGGGGTTTCACCATGTTGGCCAGGCTGGTCTCGATCTCTTGACCTCATGATCCACCCGCCTCGGCCTCCCAAAGTGCTGGGATTATAGGCGTGAGCCACGGTGACCGGCCTAATTTTTGTATTTTTAGAAGGGATGGGGTTTCACCATGTTAGCCAGGCTGATCTTGAACTCCCGACCTCAGGTGATTCACCTACCTCGGCCTCCCAAAGTGTTGGGATTATAGGTGTGAGTCAGCGTGCCTTGCCCAGAACAAGTTTTAAGAACTTGTTTTCTTAAAACAAACTTTTACTTCAATAACAAAGTATTAAAGACAAAATAAAAGAAAAAAATGTTATAAAAGAAAACAAGCTTTTATGGAGGCAGAACACATAAAGCTCTTTGTTGAAATATGCTCTAAATAATAAAAAAATAAACATTTAATAAAAGTTGCTGGTGCCTGTAATCCCAGCTTCTTGGGAGGCTGAGGAGGGAGGTTTGCTTAAGGCCCAGAGTTTGAGACCAGCCTGGGCAACACAGTGAGACCCCAGTGGGGGCAGGGGGGTGAAGGTTTCTGGGTGGCCTCTCACCCCAGGGTGCACCTTACAATGACCACGAAGTGCCAGGGATCAGGGTTGGTTTGGCACCTACACAGGCTCAAGACAATTTAATGGATCTTTGTTCTCTGAAAGGGAACAGGAAGGTAAACACAGGCTGGCCACTATTTTGTTTCAGTAACTGGAAAGGCTGCTCTCATTTGATCTCCAATTTTTTTTTTTTTTAAACAAACAATGCTTCAGAGAAAAACTTCTACTGACTTAAATTACAAAAGCATCCATTGCAGGGAGTCGGGGGACTGAACAATGCAGGTCTCTGGACTGGCCTGCCGGCTGTGCCAGGGCCCCTACAAGGCGACCCAGCACTGACCTGTGGGGGCAGCAAGGCTGGGGTTGCTGGAGGCCTCCAAAGGTGGCTGGAGAGCCTCTCTGCCAGGGATGGTCACAAAATGAAGTTGCCCTGACAAAAGGCCAGGACACTGAAAGTCTGGAGATGGAACAAGCCAATGAGCCTCACCTGCCCCCACCAAGACTCACTGCCAGGAAATGCCCAGTCAGCAAGTAACTGCCTGAGCGCCCCTCTGCTGAGTCTGGGGTGAGGCACAGGGTGTGCTGTTGCCCAGAGAGTGGCTCGTGGGAGCCGCGGCCCTGGCTGCCCACCCCCAGGCACCGCCACACCCTCACTGGCAGTGGATGTGCTGGGGCTTGTCCACTCTGGCCGTGGCCTCTGGCTCCTTGGGCTGCCTGGCTCTCTGCCAGCACAACCCTTGGCTCACTTGGTGCCACCTGGCTAGGTGTGTTCCCTCCACCGCAGCACAGCAACTTGGTAGTGCCCACTGCACCCCGAGGGCCACAGTGTGTCTCTATAACATTCCCAAACCGCAACCCAGAATGTCCGACACTCAGACCTTCTCTGTCGAGCTGTTTCTCTTTGGACTCTGAAAACAGCTGTTCTCTGTGGCTGTAAGGCCAAGTGTTTGCCCAGGCTGGTCACCTAGAGCCACACCCAGTTCCTCTAGGCCTAGAAATGAGGTGTGCTGAGGGTGCCAGGCCTGGAATGCCTGGCTCCTGAGAGTCCTCCCTCCCCTTGGCTCTCCTGCTGATAAATGGGTTCCTGAAATGACCTCAGAGGACGCTGCTCCTTTCATGTTAACCGCGGGGCCCCCTCCTCCCCACTGTGGCTTGGCAGAGGCCTTTGTAGGGTACTCTTGCAAGGCATCCCTCAGTCAGGGGGATATGGAAGTCGAAGCAGAGGGGCCGGTGCTCTGAAGCCCACCACTGGGCTCCCAGGCTGCCCCATCCTAGGTCATCCCAGCCCTGGGAGGACCAGATACCTCTTTGCTGGGGTCTGAACCCTGAAGAGGGATACGGGAGACAGGCAATTCCCCTCCGCTTGCTCACTCCCAAAGTTGTGTTCTGTCTTCTCTGGAGGAGATGCTGGTAGAGCCACATGCTTCTCTCTGCCTCTGCCCACCCCTGGGGCCTGCTGTGTGCCAGACACTTGGTGGCACTTTGTATTTCTCATTTAAGCCTCATGAAAACCTTGAGAGGTAGTTTTATCCACCCACGTTATGGAGAAGGAGACTGAGGCTAAAGGTGCCATGACATACTCAAGGACTCACAGCTAGAGGGTGGTTAGGATCACATGGGAGCCCAGGGCTGTCCACCTCTAAGGCTAAGACACCACATGGTATTTCATAGCACATCCGCACTCAGCTAGAAAACATTCCTCTATGACAGTGTTTAGAAGGATGATTGCCAGGCAATGTTGGGGATGATGCTTTCATTTCATGACTTGGTCTCCTCACATGTGAAGCCTGGAATAGTAACTTCTACTCTACCTGACTTACGGCAGAGATCAGAGCATCAAATAATGGTTGCTAAAATATCTTGGAAAAGGAAACAGTCCTATCTAGATGAAATGTGTTCATACCGTAGGCATGACAGAGACCAGCTCTTGTTCAGTGACCCCCTACCTGCTGCCTGCTTCCTCTGCTCCTCGAACAGATCAGCCGAGCTTATGGAGGAACTCGCCGACAGCCTCTCTAGGCGGGCCCTGGTCTCATACTAGAGAAGACAAGGAAAAGGAAACGTTAGGCTCCAAAGATCGTGGGCAGTTTTGCAAGAAGAATCACCGAAGAGCTGTCATTTCAAAGTGTTTGTCCCCCAGGCTCTCTCTCTCCAACAGTTACTGAATGCCACTGCCAAGGCCGGGTCCTGCGGGACAGCACAAAGCTCATGTTCTGCATGGGAGGCAGGTCACAGGCCAACCGATCAACATACAGCACCTCAGCCAAGACGGCCAGTGCGGAGGCAGTCAGAGGGAGGGAGGGAGAGCAGCATCTCTCTCCTGCTGCTGCTTCTAGCCAGCGGTCAGCAAAGGCCACTCTAAGAGGCTCTTTTCCAAGCCCCATGACACTATTTTAAAACTGAACTTCAATGTCAACTTTGAAGCAAGGCAGATATTATGGACCGTGGGAAAAGCGAGGGCCAATTCTACTTTTGAAACGATGGCAGAAGTTCAAACTTCTGCAAAACACATTCAGCACATTTTAGGGAACCATCGTCCAAATAGTCAGAGGCACACTAGCCATTCAGGATGAGAGGGAAGACGTAAACCTCCCCACTTCCACTTGAGTCTTACAGCTTAGCAAGACTTCACTCTGATGAGTTCATTAACATTTCTTTTTTTTTTTTGGAGAGAGAGTCTCACTCTGTCACCCAGGCTGGAATGCAGTGATGTGATCTTGGCTCACTGTAACCTCTGCTTCTGGGTTCAAGCGATTCTCTGCCTCAGCCTCCCAAGGAGCTGGACTACAGGCGCACACCACCACACCCAGCTAATTTTTGTATTTTTTGTAGAGACGGAGTTTCGTCATGTTGGCCAGGCTGGTCTCGAACTCCTGGCCTCAAGTGATCCACCTGCCTCAGCCTCCGAAAGTGCTAGGATTAAGGTGTGAGCCACAGTGCCTGGCCAAGTTCATTAACATTTCTGAGAAAAGCCAACAATCTGAAAATAAATATATGCACTCCCCAGAAACATATCTGGCCAGGCATGGTGGTTCACGCCTGTAATCCCAGCACTTTGGGAAGCCAAGGCAGGCAGATCACCTGAGGTCAGGAGTTCAAGACCAGCCTAGCCAATATGGTGAAACCTCATCTCTACTAAAAATACAAAAATTAGCCAGGTGTAGTGGTGCATGCCTGTAGTCCCAGCTACTTGGGAGGCTGAAGCAGGAGAATTGCTTGAACCTGGGAGGTGGAGGTTGCAGTGAGCTGAAATTGTGCCACTGCACTCCAGCCTGGGTGACAGGGAGGCCCCGTCTCAAAAAAAAAAAAAAAAAGAAACATATCTATGTGCTTCATTTCACTATGTTTAAAAGTTATTAAGTAAATTACAGCTGCATCAACAATTGTTTGAAATACATTCAAAAGATACTGGATAATGGCTATTCAAAACACCGAGAGAGGAATAAGAGAACTGTGAGGTAAGTCCTTGTCTTGTAAACACTCCTCTTGCTGAGGCGGCAAGCACACGATCAGTTACACAGACCTGGGTTCAAGTCCCGACTCCAGCACTTTCAGGCTGGAGGGCATCTGGCAGCCTGAGTCTAGCTCACTCAGGATCTCCTCCCCAGTGCCTACACCCACACTTCTTTCCTGCATTATGGGGCACCCAAAGAAACTCTCTGGACCCTTACATCAGCCTGGGCTTGTCTTCCAAAGTACATATCTGATGAAATGGCCTTGACATTGCCAAACTTCTTCTGGGCCTCATCTGTATTTTCAACTGGCTCATAATCTGGCTTGCGGCGAGCAGTAGGTCTGCAATTAAAAACAGCCAACATTAGGTTAACTAATTTGAGGTGAAGCAAATGTGTTTCATACTCATTTTATTTTTTTTATTTATTTTATTTTTTTTTGAGACGGAGTCTCGCTGTGTCGCCCAGGCTGGAGTGCAGTGGCCGGATCTCAGCTCACTGCAAGCTCTGCCTCCCGGGTTTTTACGCCATTCTCCTGCCTCAGCCTCCCGAGTAGCCGGGACTACAGGCGCCCGCCACCTCGCCCGGCTAGTTTTTTGTATTTTTTAGTAGAGACGGGGTTTCACCGTGTTAGCCAGGATGGTCTCGAACTCCTGACCTCGTGATCCGCCCGTCTCGGCCTCCCAAAGTGCTGGGATTACAGGCTTGAGCCACCGCGCCCGGCCATTTTATTTTTTAAAATGCCAATAGCAGTAAATTTTGTAAAAGGATTTTAGGCCATTTTTAAAAGCCTGAAAATTCTAATTAAAAAAAAAAAAAAAAAAGAATATCCAAACGATACAACATTTGAAGGAATTTCTGTTTAAAATGGGGTCTGTTGTTTCACATTTCAGATCAACTGGTGAACACTGAATACATTGTTTGGAATGTCCATAGGACACTGCTCTCTCTACATTGTATAGGATATAAAATGTCCCAGTTACCTGGGACAATTTCAAGTTACATCTGTTGTCCCAACATATTAGTAGTGCCCCTTTGCATTCTCACAAGTTCTCTGGTTGGAAAATAAATTCATTCATAATCACCAAAAACTGGAGTCAGTCCTTCAGTAGGTGAATGGATAAACTTGGCAATTAAGAGGAATGAACACAAGAATGAATGAGTCTTGACCAAGTGTACTAAGAAAAGTTAAACCAGAGTAGGAAGGCCAATTGCTACATGACTCCACTTATATGACATTTGGGAAAGGCAAAATTGTAAGGCCAGAAAACAGACCTGGTGTGACCAGGGGCCAGGGGCAGGGGAGGGGGGACTACAAAGGGCATGGGGAAAATCTGGGGGTGATGGGAACTGTTTTGTTCCTTGGTTTTGGTGGTAATTACATGAACGTATGTGCTTGTCAGAACTGTAAGTATAAAAAGATGAATTTTACTATATGTAAATAATATCTTAAAATTTGGGGAAAAAAGGCCAGGTGCGGTGGCTCACGCCTGTAATCCCAGCACTTTGGGAGGCTGAGACGGGCGGATCATGAAGTCAGGAGACTGAGACCATCCTGGCTGACACGGCGAAACCCCATCTCTCCTAAAAATACAAAAAAATTAGCCAGGCATGGTGGCCAGCACCTGTAGTCCCAGCTACTTGGGAGGCTGAGGCAGGAGAATGGTGTGAACCCAGGAGGCAGAGCTTGCAGTGAGCCGAGATTGCGCCACTGCACTCCAGCCTGGGCGACAGAGTGAGACTCAATCTAAAAAACAAAAAATTGGGGAAAAAGGTGAAATCTGCCTGGCCTAGGCCACCCCTGACCCATGGATCAGAATCTTCAGGGAAGAGGCCTCCACACACATATTTATTTCAAGGTCCACAGAGGATTCTGATGTGCACCTCCTATTTAGAATCAATAATTTAAAATCAAAACAGGCCGGGCATGGTGGCTCACACCTGTAATCCCAGCACTTTGGGAGGCCGAGGCAGGCGGATCCATTTGAGGTCAGGAGTTTGAGACCAGCCCGCCCAACATGGTAAGACCCTGTCTCTACTAAAAATACAAAAATTACCCTGGCATGATGGTGCGCACCTGTAGTCCCAGCTACTCGGGAGGCTGAGGCAGGAGAATTGCTTGAACCTGGGAGACAGAGGCTGCAGTAAGCTGAGATTGTACCACTGCACTCCAGCCTGGGCAACAGAGTGAGATTCCGTCTCAAAAAAAAAAAAAAAAAATCAAAACAATATTCCTAAAATAGTAGAACAAAATTATTCACTAGTCTTACAAAAGGTTTCAAAAGGTTTTCTTTTTTGAGGGGGACAAGGTCTTATTCTGTTGACCAGGCTGGAGTACAGTGGCACGATCATAGCTCACTGCAGCCTTGTACTCCTGGGCTCAAGTGATCCTTCGACCTCGGCCTCTTAAAGTGCTGGGATTATGGGAATGAGCCACCGTGCCCAGCCGCTTACAAAGGTTTTCATGTCATCATGTTATCAGCACTTTTTTCCCAGAAATGCATGGATTCACTACTACAACCCCACAGTTTTGCATTCATACCTGTCTGAATAGCCTGTGGTTTTCAGAATGGTTTCAGTATCTTTGCTGGTCTCTTTTTTCCAGTAGGAATCTGAACTGTCATCCCAGCTAGAGAAAGAACTGCTCCTTAACTCCACTGCCTCGTCAAAGTACCTGTGTGAGCAAGAGTACAACGGTGACTTTGGAGGTCCTTGCTGACACTCGTTCTGGGCCCTCTCACTTCCACGGATGTGGGGGATGCCTCCTTGAAGTTAATGGCAGTCACGTTATTAGGTCTAGCCAATGAGACAGGAGCAGACGCGAGGTGTGTCATTTCCAAGGCCTTTCACCTGTGTTCAACCTTGCCAAGTCCTCTCTTCCCAAGCTACACGGAAGAGACTGTGTTCCAGGTGCTACAGTCTCAGGTAGGTAAAACCTCCATCAGTCTGGACAATCAAAGTGACACATGGAGGACAGGTACCCTAGAGAACCATCTGCACCCTCAGCTGAGTTCATGTGAAAAAGAAATCAACTGCCATTGTGTTCAGCCCTTGAGATCTGGGGGATGTTTGTTACCTTAGTATTACTTGGCCTATCCAGACAACACAGGGCATCTTTAAATGTTATCCACCACAGGTTACACATTTCACTCTCTTTAGGTCTTACTCCGCCTGGTTAGGCAGTCACAAATAACACCGCTGGGCCTAGAGAACCGACTCCATACAGGAAGCTTCTTGTTGGCAATCCCTTCCATGTTAAGTACATTCAATGAAAATGATGTAAATGACGCTAATTAACCTTCTCCTGGAGTTGGATACAAAGCTACGGATCATTGATCACTGGACCATTCTTCGGATACTCTTTCAGCCTGGAGCCTGCAGTAAACTTGATCTGATTTGCAAGCATCTCAGGAGAGCCTGGTCTTCGGATCAGTTTACACTTTAATTAACCAATTATCACCGAGCAGGGCATTGCTCAGAGAGCAGCACTCAGTGGCGGCCTTTTGTCCTGTGTGATTAGAGAAAAATCTTTGACCAAGAGCAGCAAGGTCTGCCTGGAACAGGAGCGATTGACAGGCAAGGTGGATGTGCCAAAGCCTTGAGAAAAAGTGACCATCAACCAGCCAGGCACGGTTTCTCACACCTGTAATCCCAGCACTTTGGAAGGCCAAGGCAGGTAGACTGCTTGAGCCTGGGAGTTCCAGACCAGCCTGGGCAACATGGCAAAGCCCCATCTTGACAAAAAATGCAAAATAAATAAATAAACAAATAAAATAACTGTTTCCTGACCATCTCTGGGGATTAAAAGAAAAAAATTAATGGGGCATGGTGGCACACCTATAGTCCCAGCTACTTGGGAGGCTCACCTAAGCCTGGGAGGCCGAGACTGCAGTGAGCTGTGATGACGCCACTGCACTCAAGCCTGGGTGACAGGATCACCTGAGCGTGGGAGGCTGAGGCTGAGATGAGCCGTAATCATGCCACTGCACTCCAGACGGGGTGATAAAGTGAGATACTATCTCAAAACAAAAAGTGACTGTGCTATGCCAGAATTCGCAACAGCTTAGGATGGAAAAGCAGTCTGGCCAGATATACACACCTCATGAAGGCAGTCCAAGAAGTTCAGAGGAGAGAGGCAGATCCCAGGGAGGTCTTAGGAAAGGAAGGGTGACAGAAGAGAATACAGAGGCCTTAACAGACATCATCCAGGCTTTCTCCAGAGAGTAAGGACAGGAAGCACACTGGAAACAAGGTGAGCACCAAGCTCTGTGCTATAAGGAGTTGCACAAAAGATGGAGATCATAGGTCAGAGGGGCCAGTAACCAAAGGCCAATGTAAGAGGAAAGCAAGAACCCCTAAGAGCAAAGAGGCCAGGACCTCAGTGAACTAAGATCTGGGTGGGGGACATGCTAAGAACCAATTTACTCTTTCTTGGCAGAAAACAAAACAAAACAAAACAAAACAAAAAAAAGAGACAGAGTTTGATAAACCTGCTGTTTGGAGCAGATGGTATGATATTACATCCTTAATAGACAGAAAGTAGAATTTCTCAATGTGGCTTCTGTCTTCTCTGGCAAGAAGGTCATTAAGAACAAATCTCATGACACTAGCATCTTCTCCTTAGGAAGGAAAACGCGGTGTTCAAAATGTGTCTGGATTTCAGCTAGAAACCAACCAGCCTTTCCCCATGGTGGACGAGTGGATCTGTACTACACCCAGGCTCTGCCTGGAGGAAGAGATGACCGATTCCCCTTCAGAGAAGAGAGATCAGGACACTGAAGGAACCGGAAGTTACATCAGAGGAAGGTTCAAAAGATGTGGGATGTGTGCGGGCCTGGAAGGTGCTATTCACATGTTTGAGGGACTTATTTTAAGGGACCATGAAAAAACTAAGACCAATTCAATGAGGAATTTTAAAACTACTTAATAAGCACCTGTGAGGAGTCAGGCACTCTGCTAGGGGAAGACACAGGGCAAGAAGACACATTCAGCTCCTGCCCTCATGAGGCTTGTGAACTGGCTTATGGAACGGAGGCCGACTTGAGCGCAGAAGCCTCAGAAGCTGTGTTAATGAAAGGGAGAGTTTCTCATGGAGCTGCCCTGGGACCAAATGGCTGCCCTGAGAAGGAATGGTACAGTAGAGGCTGGATGGCCCTGGAGTGGGAAGAGGGGGGTCAGCACTGGACTGGTGCAGGGTGAGGGTGAACTTCCAGGTTCTTCATGACTCTGTGATACTAAATTTTGTAGATTGAACAACACTCTAGGTAAATAACATTCTTCATTCTTTTTTTTTTTTTTTTTTTTTTTTTTGAGACGGAGTCTCACTGTGTCGCCCAGGCTGGACTGCAGTGGCGCGATCTCGGCTCACTGCAAGCTCCGCCTCCCAGGTTCACGCCATTCTCCTGCCTCAGCCTCCGAGTAGCTGGGACTACAGGCGCCCGCCACCACGCCCAGCTAGATTTTTGTATTTTTAGTAGAGACGGTGTTTCACCATGTTAGCCAGGATGGTCTCGATCTCCTGACCTCGTGATCCACCCGCCTCGGCCTCCCAAAGTGCTGGGATTACAGGCTTGAGCCACCGCGCCTGGCCTACATTCTTCATTCTTATAAGCCAATGTGCTTATCCTGAAATGTAGGGGAATCTGATTACTTTTAAGTGACTGAACTATTCAGAAGTCAAAGGAGAGAGACAGCCATTGGCTTGGGTCCCCCTGACCAGCATAAGCCTGTGAGGCAGCAGTCTGTGCGTGGGCTGGATGGCGCCTTCTCTTCCAGTCACCCATGAGAGGCTCTCTGTGCTCATGCTAAGCAGGAGCAACTCAGCAGGAGGACCGGCAACTCACTAAAGGGATGGACAGACCACCATTCAGGCCTCCAGCTGACCCTTGGAAGGACAGGGTGAGTGGGACCACTAATGGCCACTAGTCCCTGCTCAGAAACAAACAGACTTTCCTTCTTCATCGCCAAACCTTTATTGGCTTTCTAATGCTTTGACTGTTGCTCTCAATGCTTTTTTACTTTTATTTTTGCCCTCCCACTGTCTTTACCCAATCTTGAAAACATTCCTTAAAATCCCTTGATAAGAACATCCTAATATCACATTCTCTCTGATTTAGAGCTATAGACAGTTGTCTATTCTAATGAAGGCCATGCTGGCTTTATAAGGCTGAGCAAATTGTTCTAGTTTCATTATCTTGTACTCAATATATAATTATACTGTTTATATCCTGGAAATAATGGAACTCAATAATAGTAATAAAAAAAAAAACAAGGACAGGTTTTATCTTATTTTTAACAGAAACAGAACTCTTTCATAATTCATAATATTCAAGTTCTAATGGGCTAATGAATAATTTGAAAGCAGTAAGAGCTCTTCATCGAACTATTATATTTGCTTTCAGAGTCCATGTTTATTTTACCTCAGTTGCCAAAGTACCTAATAGTACCCTCGTTCTACTAATGGTGGTTACCCTACCAAGGAGGACTAGAGAAGGCATTTATGTTCCTATTAGACAATCTGCAGGGCGTGATAAACAATACTGCAAGGTCTCTCTGGCAAGAGTCCAGGAGGCAAGGTCTATATAAATATGCCATCTGCTCCCAGGTTTCAAACTGTAACAGTTTCACAGTAACAGTGGCTTCTGGGGGCTAACCCTTTTGATTAAGCCTTGGAAGGAGGGGAAGTCTGAAAGATCCCTGAAGCCCTTACAAGGCAGAAAGGCCCCGCAAGGGCCTGTCAGTGACCTGGAGCCAGTGAGGGTCTCTGAAGTTCCCATTAGGCAACCTCACTTAAGAGTTCTCTTAGCAACCCGGCTACCAAGCAAGAGTACTGATTTAACTTAAATTGTCTCTTTTTTTTGAGACAGAGTCTTGCTCTGTTGCCCTGGCTGGAGTGCAGTGGTGCAATCTAATCTCACGGCAACCTCTACCTCCCAGGTTCAAGTGATCCTCCCACCTCAGCCTCCCAAGTAGCTACGACTACAGGCATGTGCCGCCATGCTTGGCTAATATTTTTGAAACTTTTTGTAAAGATGAGGTCTCACTATATTTCCCAGTCTGGTCTTGAACTCCTGGGCTCGAGTGATCCTCCTGCCTTGGCCTCCCAAAGTGCTGGGATTATAGGTGTGAGCCACCATGCCTAGCCTAAACTTTCTTTACTATCATCTGTAGAAGTTGCCAAGAAGCAGTGAAATAATCAAAGATGTGCGAGAAGCCACACAGGCAAATACAGACCCGTATTGCCAAGTGTTTCCTCTGACCCAGACTTAGTCCATCATTTAATATTCATATCTGAAATGATTTGACATGCATGCAGTTTCCAAATCAAATTACGCATTTAATTTTATTCTGTGTAAAAATCTATTTACATACCTTTAAAAGGCATGATTTGGGTATCACTTCTGAGTAAAGTGAAACTTGATGCATTATACAAGCTGCAAAGGATAGGCAAATATAAAACCACCCGTGTCTCTGAAAACACCACCATGGAACACCACTAAACTACTATCTTTTTTTTTTTTTTTTTTTTTTTGGTAAAATCCCTGGACTTGAAATAATTTGGAGCTATACTTAAGAGACATTTTTTAAGGATAGTATTCTTTATACAATTCCTTGTCTATAAACATTGATAGGAAAATATACAATTTCACAATTAGATTCTAGGTAATAAATTTATATCTGTTCTATATATGAAGTATATAGCTTTTATACATATGAAAACGCTTCAAACCTATAAATTGCCAGACAACTCTAATGCCCTCCGAGATGTAAGTGATGGAGCCTTCCGGTAAGCACCACCCATTACTGACAGAAACACCTTCAGTTTTCATGAACTGCTAACCCAAAGGTGGTCCTCAATGTGGTTAGTTTAACTACCTAACAATAGTAATTAAACATTTAGGCTGGGCACGGAGGCTCATGCCTGTAATCCCAGCACTTTGGGAGGCTGAGGCCAGCAGATCATTTGAAGTCAGGGGTTTGAGACCAGCCTGGCCAACATGGCAAAAACCCATCTCTACTAAAAATACAAAAAATTAGCTGGGTATGGTGGCACACGCCTGTAGTCCCAGCTACTCAGGAGGCTGAGGCAGGAGAATCACTTGAACCTGGGAGGTGGAGGTTGCAGTGAGCCAAGATCATGCTACTGCACTCCAGCCTGGGTGACAGAGTGAGACTCTATCTCATAAACAAACAAACAAAAAACATTTAGACTGAATCACACGTCTCTTAAACTGAGTTTCTACATTATCATATAGCAGCTAAACATAGTAAGAGCCAAGCACCATTCTAAACGTGCTATAGTATTTGCAGTATCTCATTTGATCCTCACACAACCCTATCAGATAGGTACTACTAGAGTCCCTAATTTACAGATGAGGAAGCTATAGCACAAAGAAGTTAAATAACTTGGCCCAGGTCACACATAAGTGAAAGCCAGGATTCAAATCCATGCCATCTGGCCCCTGGGCCCATATTCTTACCCCTCTGTTCCTGAGCTGTGCCCTCTCCAGTGAAATCACAGGTTCATTTGGTACTTTTTTAGCAGACCTCTCCCTGGGCTGGGCAGGTCCTTACAAAGTGAACTGACTCAAGTTTAAACTTGTTCCTTTGCTCTGGCAGGCCACTTGACCGTGCACTGATCTCCACAGTCGACTTCACACTAGAGTTATGCATTTTGTCTCAATCAGATAGTGAGTGCTGAAGAAGAGAAACCTGGGCTTTACTCTGGGATTCCCTCAAGGTGCAATCATGTTCCTCATTAATAAATACACACACTCATAGAGTTTATTTAATGTACAGGTGTACCAATTGGAGTTTTCTGAAGCTGACATTCTGAAGCACAGAAATCTGCTGAAGCCCTGAGAAAGAGCTGTGAAATATTCCAACTGCTGGACTAAAACTAAACAACACACACCTTCAGGATTTTGCAGTTTTCTCCAATTTCATAATTTAAATAAACACATCTCTCCTACCTTTAACTCACAGTTGCTGATTTTATTATCAAACATTTTAATGTTAGCAAACATTGTCCTTTCACAAATGTTTCTCTAATTTTTATTTCAAAGAATACCTTTGGCTTCAGTCAAAGCTTTTAAAAACAGTGGAGTAAACTGATTTGTAATTTCTTCTAATGCAAATAAACTAATCAATCCATACTAATCACTACTTTTCAAAATGACACTTTAACGATGATTTGTCATAGAGTACCTTGAGCTGGAAGTAAAATATGAATCGTCACTGTCATCGTTGTACTTTTTTCTTGGTTTTGCCATGATGGGTGATTCCTGTTCTATGGTCTGCATATCTGAAGTCACTGAATGTGAAATACCACTTGAGAAAACAGAAAAATATATATATTAGTAGGTTCACAAACTTTTGTTTCACCAAAATAAACAAAGCTTTAATTTATATTTTGAACAAAGACAAATTTATTAGAAGGGTTAAAAATATAAGCAATAAAACAATTTTTTTTTCTGGTGCAAGCTTTCAAAAATGTTAAAATTTTGTGAGGACTGTGTCTACCCAAATACAGTCACAAATATTGGTTATGGGCCGGGCTCGGTGGCCCACGCCTGTAATCCCAGCACTTTGGGAGGCCGAGGTGGGCGGATCACGAGGTCAGGAGATCGAGACCATCCTGGCTAACACGGTGAAACCCTGGGCGGCGGGCGCCTGTAGTCCCAGCTACTCGGGAGGCTGAGGCAGGAGAATGGCATGAGCCCGGGAGGCGGAGCTTGCAGTGAGCCGAGATTGTGCCACTGCACTCCCGTCTGGGTGACAGAGTGAGACTCCGTCTCAAAAAAAAAAAAAGAAAAGAAAAGAAAAGAAAAATATTGGTTATGTCCATGGCTTCCTCTCCAGTAGGTGCTTCATGAAGAGCTAGACCTTTTTCCTTCTTTTAAAGAGCCAAATTTGAAAATTTTCATGTTATGGTGAATACCAGAGCAAAGCAAAAATAATTAGAGAAGTTAATGAATAACAAAAAAACCCTCTAAAGTTGAAACTAACAGAGTCCAAGAAAAATCCACCGATGATTGGCACACTGTTTTAAATTCTAACTTCAAGAAAGCAGTCTCACATACCTTCTGCAATTTCCAAATCCCATGCCGAGTCTGTCTGAGTCAACATTTTTTTTGCCACTAATGTTCAACTTTTCATCTTTCTTCATTTGAATTTCAAGATCCTTATAGGCTAATCGTAATGATGAAACACTGCCAGAAAAACCAAATACTCCTTAATTTAGCTTTAATCCTTTGTTCTTACATTAAAATAGCAAGCAAAATTAAACATGTAATTTATACATTTATACTTTTAGCTCCATGATTCTTTCCATAATTAACAATTATGAAGGCAAGTTGGCGTTTTTTCTACCTGCCTTTTTTGAATAGATGTTTAAGAAAATTTGAATGAGCCTACAGCTCCTTTCTCACTGCTGCTCAACCTATGCCACTGTTCAAGTTTAGTTCACATTACCTATTATTGTAAAATAACATAATGTATACCCAAATCACTTCTACATGGGATAGTGAAAAGCAGAATTTCTTACTTGGATTATTTTATTACACTTCCACATTACATAACAAAGCATGAGGTTAGTCTCACTAGTCTATCTTAAGATAAAGAAATGTATAAATTTGACTTTACAAATAGATCAAAGAAGCTGTTAATTGTAAAAGGATCCTTCCATTTACAAAATAATTTCTTGTAGGGTATCTCCATGCAATCAGGCTTCTGAGAGTGTTTAAAATGGCATAGTCACTCATCAGCTAATAGACTCTTTAGCACTACTAGTCAGTCATATACCACGCTTCTATTTAAAATCAAGTATCTGCCACAAGCAGGATACCAAAGGGGTAAAAAGGTGTACAAAACATTGTCCTTGCTCTCAGATTTCTTTTTTTTTTTTTTTTTTTTTTTTTGAGACGGAGTCTTGCTCTGTGCCCCAGGCTGGAGTGCAGTGGCGCGATCTCGGCTCACTGCAAGCTCCGCCTCCCAGGTTCACGCCATTCTCCTGCCTCAGCCTCCCAAGTAGCTGGGACTACAGGCGCCCGCCACCTCGCCCAGCTAATTTTTTGTATTTTTTAGTAGAGACGGGGTTTCACCGTGTTAGCCAGGATGGTCTCGATCTCCTGACCTCGTGATCCGCCCGTCTCGGCCTCCCAAAGTGCTGGGATTACAGGCTTGAGCCACCGCGCCCGGCCTGCTCTCAGATTTCTAAAAATGCAATAATGACTTAATTTTTCATAAAAAAAAAAAAACTATGCCTATATAGCAAGAACAGCAGTTTGCATCATATTTTAGTGAGACAGCAACATTTCAGGGCCCTGAAAAATGATCTATCTACCTTACAAGGATTTCTAAGTTACCATCCACTTTACAAAAACATGTAAAATGTCACGAATTCCTGGCAAAAGAGGCATTGTATGAATTCCTAGTAATATAAATTTCTGTGTAGTAACAGGGAAGGACAACAGAATTTCTTTCTGTTTTTTGAGATAGTCTCGCTCTGTCGCCCAGGCTGGAGTACAGTGGTGCAACTTCCACCCACCAGGTTCAAGTGATTCTCCTGCCTCAGCCTCCTGAGTAGCTGGGATTACAGGTGCCTGCCACCATACCCAGCTAATTTTTGTATTTTTAGTAGAGACGAGGTTTCACCATGTTGGCCAGGCTGGTCTCAAACTCCTGACCTCAGGCAATCTGCCCGCCTCTGCCTCAAAGAGTCCTAGGATTACAGGCGTGAGCCACCGTGCCCGGCACAGAATTTCTTACTAGGAAAAAGTAATCTTGCTTTTGCTGTTTCTTTTCTTTAATGAGTCAAGCAAGATTTCTTTGGTTTTCACGTGGCAGTTTGTTTTCCTTACTCTTCCTACAGAACAGGTTATGGCTATTTTACTCCTTAACAAATAAATACTACTCTTTCTTTTGGAGGAAAGCAATAGCTCTGTTTAAAATCATGAATACATATAATTACAGCAACAGATTCCTCTGGAGAAGATGCATGGGGATGAAAAGGTTCTACTAGAAAGATAAGAGATGGAAAAGTTTTCCTTCCTAGGTAATCTGACATGGGACTGGGTCACTCACTAAAAGCATGCACTTTGATATCCAAGCTTACGAGAACATCTCTCTGGAAGAACCAGCAGAGTTAAGTCAGAACACGCGTTTCTCAGAACTTCAGGAGCGCTTACGGGTACTGGCTCAAGGGAAGACTACAGGACACAGATCAAACAAGCGAAGTAGCTCGAGGCAGCTCTGCCTCTTCCTTCCTTCCTACCAAGTGGGCACACAGAGAGCCTCTGAGGATGGGCTGGGAAACTGCTAGAAGGAGACCAGGACACTGCATGGGCCGTTTAGTTTCACACCCTGACAGTACAAGAAACAGCACTGCTCTGACAGTTTACTGAGCTGAAATAACTTTATTTACAGCCATTAGAAAAACTAACTTGCAAAATAACACTCATACATTAAGGATAAAACACCTGTACTTTCTACGGGTTTGAGTGGCAGTGGTGGTCAGTAAGGCATAGTTATGTGGTTGTTCTGAACAAGGCCATGAAAGTTGCCAAATTGGCTTCCCAAATCAAATTCATAAATCTTCCGATCAGCATCTTTGTTTTTGTGATGTATCAAACACTCCTAATGAAAGATACAAGTGAAGGCTGGTTGTTGCTTCCTGTTTTCAGGAAGATTAGCATGTTAATATTAGAAGTAACAACCAGACTTCACTCCACCCAGTTTACCTGCAGGAAGGGAGTTGATCAGGGCCCAATTTTATACACGCTCTGGGAAAACCTCAAGCGTGAGTAATCTGGACAGAACCTACTCCCAAATACCAAGAGAAGCCATGGAAACACTTAAATCTAACCTTTCCCTTTGCCAGGATCAAAAACTTAGCTTAGTAAGAGAAATTAAAGTCTGTGACAAGTCAATGTAAATTTTTACACAAAACATATCAAACCATATTCAACCTAAATACAGTTCAGTGCTGCCCCCTAAGTTCTGTGAGTTAAATGACAAGGAGAAATAACTATCAACTTCAAATTATTTGGGTTTACCTTATAAACTCCACCTTAGCAAACTGTCAGTATGAACAGTAAGATGGTATGAAAAGTAGTTGCATTTATTGAGCACCTACTGTGTGCCAGGTACTGTTTGATGCACTTCAATGAGCATTTAAGCTATTAAACTAATCCTTAAAACCACCTCATAAAATAGGTATTATTTTCTTCATCATACAGTCCATAGTAACTCAAGCTAAAACAGATAAAATACACATGAAAGTAAGAGAAAACACCGTTAAAAAACACATGCATAAAAAAGAGGGATCCAGGTTACTTTTCCTTTCTGTGTGGCATGCACCCCCCGCCCTTCTTCTCTCCTGATCTTTCGTACACAGTCCCAGTTTCTGGATGGCCATCTTTCTCTTCTGATTTCAACACAGATGAAAACCTCTCAAGAGCCTTACAAACGTCTACAGAAAACCAGTCTCTTCACTGGCTTCCTGGCTTCCGTTTCCTCCCCTCTTCCTGGCCTGGATATCACTACCAATCTCACTTCCTCGAGATGCCGCTTCATCACAGCACTGCTGAAGGAGCTGTTTGTGACTCTTGGGTAAGTGGACAACCACAGCCTGACTTTAAGGTGCTCCACATTATCGTTCCAACTCCTCCACTTCAGGCAGGCCCCCGACACACATGATCATTCCACCTTCTTCATTCTCTGAAACTCTTCCTTCTCCCTCTCCAAGATCCAGGCTCAGAACCTCTGGAGACACCACCAGAGCCACAGTCTTCCATCATGTATTTAGAATTTAGTCACAGAGTCCAACAGGGCTTCAGATTATAAATACTTTTTTCATTATGGAGATATAATTCACATACTGTAAAACTCACCCTATTAAAGTACATGATTCAGTGGTTTTAGCACATTCACAAAGTTGTACCACCATCACCACTAACTCCAGAACATTTTCAGCAGTCCAAAAAGCAGGCCTGGACCCTTTAGCAGCCACTCTCCATTCTCTCCTCCTCTTGGGCCCTGGTAACCAGTAAGTTGCTTTCTGTCTCTATGGATTTGCCTATTCCAGACATTGCATATGGACAGAATCATGTCATATGATCTTTTATGACTGGCTTCTTTCTTTAGCATAAACTTTTCAAGGTTTATCCATGTTGTAGCACATATCAGGACTATATTCCTTTTTGTGGCCAACAGTCCATTGTATGGACATACCACATTTTGTTTCTCATTTATCAGTTGGTAGACATTTAGGTTATTTCTACTTTTTGGCTATTAGGATGCCACTATGAACATTCATGCACAAGTTTTTGTGTGGTTACACAGATGTAAGTTTAATTTCTCTTGAGTATATACTTAGGAGTAGATTAGCTGGGTCACATGGACACTTTACATTTAACTTTTTGAAGGACTGCCAAACTGTTTTTCACAATAGTGGCACCATTTCACACTGCCATCAGCAATGTACAAGGGTTCAAATTTCTCCACATCCTAGCCAACACTTGTTATTGTCCGTTTTTTTTTATTATAGCTTCCCTAGAGGGTACACAGTAGTATCTTATTGTGGCTTTGATTTGCATTTCCCTAACTCTAATAATGTGAAGCATGTTTCATATGTAAACACCTCAATGCATCTCTGTCTTTCCCTTCTCACTGACACCACTCCAGTCCTGCCCTTACAGCATCAACAGAAAGTGTTGCTGCCCCCATCGTCTCTTTCTCTTCCAATCCAGATGCCAATGCAATATCAGTTTTCTTAAAACTAAATTTTGCAGTGCCCTCCCCTCCCCGCCCCCAAAAAATACATGGCATTTGGAAAGCAAATCTTGGAGTTAATAGTTTTATTCCCTGCAAACATATTAATATAATGAAATTAAACTTACATTGATTCTTCTTTAGGTGCCGCCTTGGCCAGGTCTTCCTGCTCCTTCATTTTATCCGCAGCTTGAGCTTGTTTTTCAATTTCATTAAAGCATGTATTTGCCAGTTTCTGAGCTCCCAAACTTCCTTTTTTGGCCCCAAGCTAGAAGATATATAAGACTATAGTCTACACGAGCTGTTTGAAAGCTTTTGGGACTACAGCTAACATTTCCTAAGGGTTAGGACCTGCCAGGCACTGTCACAAGCACTTTACATTTATTCTCTGGCTTAGTCCTCAGAACTCTGTGAAGCTGGTATTATCTCAGGAGTCCCTCAGCATGGGGGGATTGGTTTCAGGACCCTGTGGATAACAAAATCTGCGATGATCAAGTCCCTTATATAAAATGGCATAGTATCTGCATTTAACCTACATATACCCTCCAGCATACTTTCAATCATCTCTAGATTACTTATTATATCTAAATAATGTAAATGCTATGAAAATAGTTACTAATTCTGTGTTTTTATTTGTATCGTTTTTACTGTTGTATTCTTACTTTTCATTTTATTTTACTTTTTTTGAGACAGGGTCTCACGCTGTTGACCAGGCTGGAGTACAGTGGCACAATCTCAGCTCACTGCAACCTCTGCCTCCTGGGGTAATGCGATCCTCCCACCATAGTATCCCGAGTAGCTGGGACTGTCGGCATAGGCCACCAAATCCAGCTACTTTTTGTAATTTTTGAAGAGACGGGATTTCACCAAGTTGCCCAGGCTGGTCTTGAACTCCGGGGCTTAAGTGATCCACTTGCCTCAGCCTCCCAAAGTGCTGGGATTACAGGCGTGAGTCACTACGCCTGGCCTATTGTGGTTTTTTTTCCCCCAAATATTTTTGATCTGCAGTTGGTTGAATCCCAGGATGCAGAACCCCTGGATACAGAGGGCTGAGGAAAGTAAAGCTCATGTAAGTTAAGCAATGTGGCCAAGAACACACAGCCAATAAATGGCAAGGCCAGGATTCAATCCCTGCACCTGCCTCCAGAGCTGGTGCTCCGCAATGCATCGCTGTTATCTGAAAGCTCACCAGACGACTGACTACCCTCTAAGCCTTACAAGATATCACTGCTTATTGATCTACGCAAGCAGGAGAGAAATTCCCAGGGGACCTTTGTTAATTTTTTCAGAATTTTGTCATAGACAGAAAAAAATGTTAAATCATTCTAGAAAAAATTCAGTAAGTATAACATTAATCTCTTTGAACAAGCCACATTTATTACAAGATGGTTCAAAAGAATAAAACTAAAATGACAAAGTAGCTTTTTAGTTTTAAAGCTTAACTACCAGATTTTTATATATAAAGTACATAATACTCACGCCTTTTTTAGCTTGATTTGGTTTCTTTTTTATGATAGAGGAAACCTCTGCCAAAAAATAAAAATTAAAAAGTCAGACCAATAGAAATAATTTTTCTTTTTTAGTGTGTCTTTTAAAATTCTAACATACAGCACTTTATTATTTAAGAGAGAACATTTTTCACATTAGTTTGTCATTCAGAAGACTCAAGTTGATGAGCATATTTTAGATGGACAGAGCTTCGTTGAAATGGAATCCTCAGTATTTCCATGCAGTCTCCAAACTCAGAGAAAATGCCTTTTTTTTTTTTTTTTTTTTTTAACAGCACACTGAAGAGAAACAGAGCCTGAGCTTGCCCCACTCAGTACCTTCTTCAGGAGCATTTTAAAAAGTATATTACAACAACTTTTGTTTTTTGAGACAGGGACTTGCTCTGTCGCCTAAGCTGAGTGCAGTGGCATTACCTCCCAGATCAAGGGATCCTTCCACTTCAGCCTCCTGAGTAGTTAGGATCACAGGTGCGCACCACCACATCTGGCATTTTTTTTTTTAGGAGATGGGAGTCTCGCTATGTTGCCCAGACTGGTCTTGGACTCCTGGGCTCAAGTGATGCTCCTGCCTCAGCCTCTCAAAGTGTGAAAATAAGTATGAGCCACCATGTCACAACTCTTTTGTTAAGCTCTGCTCTTCAAAAACTTTAAAAAATCTAACAATCTTTTAGAGTTGTTCTCACTCCATTACCTAGGCTGGAGTATAGTAGTGTGATCAGAGCTCACTGCAGCATTGAACTCCTGTATTCAAGTGACCCTCTTGTCTCAGCCTCCCTAGTAGCTGGGACTACATGCATATGCTACCATGCTTGGCTTTCTTTTTTTTGTAGAGATGGGGGGATCTCACTATATTGCCTGGTCTGGTCTCAAACTCCTGGCCTCAAGTGATCCTCCCACCTTGGCTTTCTAAAGTGCTGGGATTATAGGTATGAACTGTCATGCCCATCCCAAAAGCTTTAAAAATCATTATAATTTTCCATTTATATTTTAGATTCAGGGAGTACATGTGCAGTTTTGTTACAAGGGTATATTGTGTGGTGCTGAGGTTTGGGCTTCTCTTGATCCCATCACCCAGACAGTGAGCACAGTATCCAACAGGAAGTGTTTCAGCTCTTGCTCCCCTCTCTCCCTCCCTCCCTCCCTTTGGAGTCCTCAGTGTCTACTCTTCCCATCTTTATGTTTGTATGAACCCAAGATTTAGCTCCTGCTTATAAGTGAACACATGTGATATTTGGTTTTCTGTTTCTGCATTAGTTTGTTTAGGACAATGGCCTCCAGCCATGTTGCTGGAAAAGACATGATTACTCTTTTTTATGGCTGCACAAAACTTATTTGAAAATATAAAGTTAGCAGCCTGGACAACAAAGGGAGACTCCATCTCTACAAACAAACAAACAAACAAACAAAATTAGCCCAGTGTGATGGCATGCACCTGTGGTCCCAGTTACTTGGGAGGCTGAGGTGGGAGAATCCCTTGGGCCAGGCTGCAGTGAACTGTGATAGAACCCACTGCACCCCAGCATGGGCAATAAAGCGAGACTCTATCTCAAAAAAGTAATAACAATAATAAAAGTAAAGTTAGCTAGGCATTATGTATACAACTAAAGCAGCCAGTGACGTGCTTTTTCACCTTGGCTTATATATATATTTTATTACATTAGCCAAAATAAATATAAAGCATTCTCGGCCAGGCATGGTGGCTCACGCCTGTAATCCCAGCACTTTGGGAGGCCAAGGCAGGCGGATCACCCGAGGTCAGGAGTTTGAGAACAGCTTGGATAATATGGTGAAACCTTGTCTCCACTAAAAATACAAAAAGTTTGCTGGGCGTGGTGGCGCACACCTGTAATCCCAGCTACTTGGGAGGCTGAGGCATGAGAATCGCTTGAACCCAGGAGGCGCCAGGAGGCAGAGGAGGCAGTGAGCCGAGATCGTGGCACTGTACTCCAGGCTGGGTGACAGAGTGAGACTCTGTCTCCAAAAAACAAAACAAAAAAAGAAGAAATATAAAGCATTCTCTTATTTTAATAACAGTACTTTCTAAATTGCACAAAAATACTTTCAGAGAAAGTTTCTTAAAAATCATTTTCTAAGTACATTTTACTTGTAGGTTATATATTGTTTTTAGAATTATGTTTAAGAAACCCAGCAAAATTAAAGTCTTAATTTTTTCTTTTCTTTTCTTTCTTTTTTTTTTTTGAGACAGAGTCTCGCTCTGTCGCCCAGGCTGGAGTGCTGTGGCCGGATCTCAGCTCACTGCAAGCTCCACCTCCCGGGTTTATGCCATTCTCCTGCCTCAGCCTCCTGAGTAGCTGGGACTACAGGCGCCCGCCACCTCGCCCGGCTAGTTTTTTTGTATTTTTTAGTAGAGACGGGGTTTCACCATGTTAGCCAGGATGGTCTCGATCTCCTGACCTCGTGATCTGCCCGTCTCGGCCTCCCAAAGTGCTGGGATTACAGGCTTGAGCCACCGCGCCCGGCCAATTTTTTCATATTAAGATAAGAACGTGCTTTGATAGGAAAAGATAGCATAAAACCACAAACAGCAAAAGATTACAACCTTTAGCCGTGAGTGCAGAACGGCATCATTACATTTCAAGTGTGAAAAAGATGCTCGTGGGAATTTTCCTTTTCATCACTTTCTTTTAGATTTGTATTGTAGTAGTCACATCACCTGCTCCCAACTTCTGACGAGTCTAATACATGATGAAAATGTCAGGAACATTTCTAACAGTTTAGTTATTTTTCACCAAAGCAGCTGCTTTCCAACTAATGCAATGGAATATGTAACAATTACAAATTAAAATTCCTTGATAATGAAAAACTTAAGATTAAGTTCACCTATAATAAAATCAGAAAGAGAAGAAAATGCTGAGTTCTTGAGTAAAAAGGAATGGTGTACATGTTCTGACCACTGCTTATTTCGGTAATGTGAGCCAGCCCAACGTAAACCTACCAACCAAAACCATCAGCAGCCATATTGGCTAAATATGCACATTGCTGCTTTTTTTTTTTTGAGGCAAGGTATCAGTCTGTCACCCAGGCTGGAGTACAGTGGTGTGATCACTGCTCACTGCAGCCTCAACATCTCAGGCTCAAGTGATCCTCCTTCCTCAGTCTCCCAAGTAGCTGGGACTACAGGTGTATGCCACCACACTCAGCTAACTTTTTTTTTTTTTTTAAGAGAGACAAGGTTTCGCCATGTTGCCCAAGCTGGTCTCGAACTCCTGGGCTCAAGCAATCTGACCACCTCGGCTTCATAAAGCGTTAGGATTACAGGTGTAAGCCACTGCCCCCAGCCACAATGCTGCACTTTATATTATCAAGCTGGTTAAAATGTAGCATCTTTGTTGGAAGCTTGAGAGATGAATAAAAAAGATATATATATATATACACATACATACATATATATGGCGATATATATATATGGCACCTTTAGCTTAATAAAATATTATTAACAGATTCAGTCATGATGCTATTACTCCATCACGTGAGACGCCTAGGCCAAATGCAAGAGGATTTACTTTTTTCTTAATGAGTCATACACTTTAAATCAGAATGTAAGATTTTAAGCATATTACCTAAAGCAGCCTTTGATGGTACATTAAGACCTTCCACACTTGGTCCTTGCTCTTGTCCACCTGAAAATTCAAAACATTGATATTAGTGCAGAAAATATACTCAGCTAACTTGCTTTTCAATGTATAATAATTCAACTTGCTCAGTGCTACGTATTTTATCCAATTTTGTCAATGATCACCTACCTTTTTAGCTGTATATTCTATTTTACGGTTATAAGAATTTTGACTTAAAAGTCCATTAAAGTAGAAATGTATTTTTCATCCAATGGATTTATCGAATAAAAATGTTAGTGGTCTCTTCAACTAATATAATTCAAAATTCTGCCTTATGATCTGGTGATTTAATGTGACCTGTCATAAGATACTTAGTACCTCTGTGGACTATACATACCCAATGTATGTTAATATGTGGAAATTTTTTTTTTTTCCTTCTTTTGGAGACGGAATTTCTTTCTTCTTACCCAAGCTGGAGTGCAATGGCATGATATTGGCTCACTGCAACCTCCACCTCCCGGGTTCAAGCGATTCTCCTGCCTCAGCCTCTCGAGTAGCTGGGATTACAGGCATGCACCACCATGCCCAGTTAATTTTGTATTTTTAGTAGAGACAGGGTTTCTCCATATTGGTCAGGCTGGTCTTGAACTCCTGACCTCAGGTGATCCACCCGCCTCGGCCTCCTGAAGTGCTGGGATTACAGGCGTGAGCCACCGCGCCCGGCCTAATATGTGGAAATTCCAATTACATCAATGATGGAAATCGAAATTTTCAGTTGCCAAGAAATCTGTCTTGTTTATTCTATTTTACCTAAAAAGTCATCCTGGTTAGCAACTCTGTGAACACAGCCTTCATTAAAAGCCAGGCACAGTGGCTCACACCTGTAATCCCAGAACTTTGGGAGGCCAAGCTGGGCCGACTGCTTGAGTTCAGGAGTTCGAGATCTCCCACCTTGGCCTCCTAAAGTGCTGGTATTATAGGTGTGAGCTACGGCGCCCAATCATACTTAATTTTATTTATTACTTTAAAAATAGATAAAGTGTAGGCTGGCCATGTGGTGGCTTATGCCTATAATCCCAGCACTTTGGGAGGTTGAGGCGGGCGGATTACTTGAGGTGAGGAGTTTGAGACCAGCCTGACCAACATGGTGAAACCCCGTCTCCACTAAAAAATACAAAGATGAGGGCTGGGCATGGTGGCGTGACCCAGCACTTTGGGAGGCTGAGGGGGATGGATCACGAGGTCAAGAGTTCAAGACAAGCCTGGTCAACATGGTGAAACCCCGTCTCTACTAAAAATACAAAAATTAGCTGGGTGTGGTGGCAGGTACCTGTAATCCCAGCTACTAGGGGCAGGAGAATTGCTTGAACCCGGAAGACGAAGTATGCAGTGAGCTGAGATCATGCCACTGCACTCCAGCCTGGGTGACAGAGTAAGACTGCATCTCAAAAAACAAAAAACAAAACAAAACAAAAAATTAGCTGGGCATGGTGATGCAAGCCTGTAATGCCAGCTACTTGGGAGGCTGAGGCAGGAGAGTATCTTGAACTCGGGAGGCTGAGGTTGCAGTAAGCCAAGATTGCACCACTGCACTCCAGCCTGAGCAACAGAGCGAGACCCCCATCTCAAAAAAAAAAAAATATACATATATATATATAAATATATATATATACATATACAGCCATTCAACAGAATATTATTTAACTATAAAAAGGAATGAAGGCGGGTGGATCACTTGAGGTCAAGAGTCCGAGACCAGCCTGGCCAACATGGTGAAACCCTCTCTCTACTAAAAATACAAAAAAGTAGCCAGGCGTGGTGGCGCATGCCTGTGATCCCAGCTACTTGGGAGGCTGAGGCAGGAGAATTGCTTGAACCTGGGAGGTGGAGGTTGTGGTGAGCCGAGATCACACCATTGCACTCCAGCCTGGGCAACATCTTGTTCTGTGTTAGTTACTGGGGTTTCTGTTAAAACAAAACTGAGACATCCGGACTTCAGAGATTACATGTATCTCCTGGGGCTAACCCTCAATCTCAAAGTCCCTGGCCTTTTTTTTTTTTTCAGAGCCCTGCTCTGTTGCCCAGGCTGGAGTGTAGTGGCACAAACTCGGCACACCACCATGCCTGGCTAATTTTTGTATTTTTAGTAGAGATAGGGTTCTGCAATGTTGGCCAGGCTGGCCTTGAACCCCTGGCCTCAAGTGATCCACCCACCTCAGCCATCCAAAGTGTTGGGATTAACAGGCGATAGCCACTGTGCCTGGCCTCAAAGCCCTTTTATGCTAATAAATTATAATAATAAAAATAGTTAAATTATCATTTGTACTTTCACAAAAGATACGTAAGTCACTGTTCCTGTTTGTTAGGAGATTACGGGAATTCTTTCTTCTCTCTGATAATGGTAAATCAATCAATGGCTCAGGTAGATTTCTCATCTTAAAAAAGAATCTCTCTCTGGAGAAGCTCACAGCTCAGCAGAGGGGACACACAGTGGGCATGCAAACTAACAGACGCAGTAATTTCCAGAACTGGTGTTTGCTATGCTATGAGGAAGAAAAAATGCACAAACGCAGTTGTGACTGGGAGTGCTCGCCAGCTGGTCTTAAAAGCTGAATCCCAATAAAGAGGGAGCCCATGCCAATCAAGGCAGAGCCACACTTCAAGCAAAACAGAAAGCAAATGCAGGCAGAGAAACACCCAAGGGCCCCTGCAGCTTCAGTGTAGTGTAAAGCTAAGAAATCAAAAAACTAAACCCCAGTTAGAGGTGTATAAATGTCTTCTTTGCAGGCATCTTCAGTCATATGCCTAAAAAAAGAATGTGAAAAAAAATGACAGGGTGCAAATCATCCACAAAATCACCACATCAGAGTTCTTTGCATAGTAAGGAAACAAGCCGCTTTTGTCTACATATGAATTGCAAATGTTTCTCATTTGTCTTCACTTTATTTTTTTTTATTTTTTTTTATTTTTTTTTTTTTTTTTAGACGGAGTCTCGCTCTGTCGCCCAGGCTGGAGTGCAGTGGCCGGATCTCAGCTCACTGCAAGCTCCGCCTCCCGGGTTCACGCCATTCTCCGCCTCGCCTCCCGAGTAGCTGGGACTACAGGCGCCCGCCACCTCGCCCGGCTAGTTTTTTGTATTTCTTAATAGAGACGGGGTTTCACCGTGTTAGCCAGGATGGTTTCGATCTCCTGACCTCGTGATCCGCCCGTCTCGGCCTCCCAAAGTGCTGGGATTACAGGCTTGAGCCACCGCGCCCGGCCTGTCTTCACTTTAAAGTACTTTTTCAGAACAGAAATGTTACATTTTTATGTCATCAGATTTATTAACCTTTTCCTTTTATGAGGTTTGAATATGTAAAGAAGGGATTCCCATTCAGGATAATAAAAAAAGCTTTACCCAGGTTTTCTTCTAGGATAATCATATTTTCAAGTAAATCTTTGAAATACCTGAATTTAGCCTGGTGTGTAAAGAGTAAAGAAGGAATTCTACTTTTATTATTTGTTTCTAAAATGCCAGACACTAGTCCAAATTCCATTAATCAAATAACCCATTGTTACCTAGGATATGAAATGTTCTTATCCCGATTCACGGATACGCCTACTCCTATACCAGTAAAATGAAAAACCAGCAGTCTATTGTTTGATGGAAATCTCAAGACATTCCCACCCTTATACCTATAACAATACAAAGGAAGTGACTCCTTTTCTTTCTTTTTCTTATTTTTTTTTTAGAGTCAGGGTCTCTCTCTGTCATCCAGGCTGGAGAGTGCAGTGGTGCAATCAGAGCTCACTGCAGCTTCAAACTCATAGGCTTAAGAGATCTGCCCGCCTCAGTCTCTCTAGTAGCTGGGATCACAGGCATGCACAACCACGCCTGGCTATGCGACTCCTTTTCTTTACAACATGACTCCACTCTGGGATAGAGCCAAGTGTCTCTCTCTCCTAGGACTACTTTCTTGATAAATACCACTTACTCTCCTACACTCCGGCAAAATCCTTGCCAGAAATTTTCTCAATACTATCACCCAACCCATGGTTGGTGACTGCTTCATCTTTCCTGTTATGCCATGATACTTAGAGTTGGTCAAGGCTCAGTTTATACAAGCCAGCACTTCTTATGGTATCAAAACCCATGAGCTCACTGCTTAGTTGTCCAAAGTTACATTTTTGTTGTTAATTTACACTAACATTCTGGCCTAACAAAGGATGCACTTTTAAAACAGAAAGAGCCGATTACTCATGTCACAAGTGATTTGTAATATGTAAGCAACTGATATATTTACAATAAATGTAATCCTATAAGAAAGTCACCAAATGTGAATCATTATGTATCAACTATTTTTGTAAGTTTTAAAATTGAAATTTTGTTTTTGATTATAAAAGTAACCCATACTTACTATAAAAGTTCAGATACTTCAACTCTGTATCAAGCAAGAACTAAACATCCTCAGTAACTTCATTCCCTATTTAACAATTTGCTGTGTGCTTTCCAGGATGTTTTTGGTATGTTTTTCTTTTTTTACAAAAATGATTATTATATTCCATGTTCAGTAATATTGTTCCCCCACTTTATAGTCTATTACGAATATTTCTTCCTGTTAAGACAGAAGGGTCGACCAGGAGTGGTGGCTCACGCCTATAACCCCGATACTTTGGAAGGCCAATACTTTGGTGGATCACCTGAGGTCAGGAGTTCGAGACCAGTATGAACAACATGGTGAAACCATGTTGCAAAAATTAACCAGGCGTGGGGTGCACGTCTGTAATCCCAGCTTCTAGGGAGGCTGAAGCAGGAGAATTGCTTGAACCCAGGAGGCAAAGGTTGCAGTGAGCCGAGATCGTGCCATTGCACTCCAGCCTGGGTGACAGAGCAAGACTTTGTCTCAAAAAAAAAAAAAAAAAAAAGGACAGAAGGATCTACATTTTAATTTTTTTAGGTTTCAGGTGTTTTTTTTTTGGTTTTTTGTTTTTTCGGTAGAGATGGGGACTATGTTGCCCACGCTGGTCTCTGATTCCGGGGCTCAGGTGATCCTCCCGCCTCAGCCTCACGAAGTGCTGGAATTACAGGCATGAGCCACTGTGCCTGGCCCACCTTAATTTTTAATAGTTTCATAGCATGCCACTGAACCACAGAATAGTATTACATGACAGTTATAAGGACTCCACCTTCATTATTTTCCAAAGTGGTTTCCACAGGCCTTGATGTTAAAGAAGATGGTTCTGCTATTGCTGATGCCCATGCTGTGTCACTCACCTGAAACAAAGTGAGAAAAGTCATTAGCAGACAAAGCAAGAAAACAGCCATAAAAAACAAATCAAAGTACGGGAAAAACCTAACAATTTAAACAGCCACATTCTGAGTCCCTGTTAATGGAAAGGAAGGCATATCTATTTTTTTCTTGCTTTCTTTTTTTATAGAGACGGGGTCTTGCTCTATTTCCCAGGCTGGAGTGCAGAAGCACAATCATAGCTCACTGCATCCTTGACCTCCCAGGCTCAAGTGATGCTTCCACCTCAGCCTCCTGAGTAGCTGAGATTGCAGGCATGTGCCACCACACCCAGCTAAAGTTTAAATTGTTTGTAGAGAAGGGGTCTATGTTGCCCAGGCTCGTCTCAAACTCCTGGGCTCAAGTTATCCTCCCACCTTGGCTTCCCAAAGTGCTGAGACTACAGGCATGAGCCACCATGCCTGGCCTATTCTCCTCTTTCTTGATAACCTTTTTGGGTAACTACTGACTGTGACAATGCTAATACGTATGTGCAAATTACAATAGCAACAACAACAACAACAACAAAACAAGGTTTAACAACTTGTATGACTTTACATAGTTTTAAATTGAAAATTAAAGAATAAGCTGGGCACAGTGGCTCACATCTGTAATCCCAGCACTTTGGGAGGCTGAGGCATGCAGATCATCTGAGGTCAGGAGTTCGAGACCAGACTGGTCAATATGGTGAAACCATGTCTCTACTAAAATTACAAAAAAATTAGCCGGGTGTGGTGGTGTGGGGAGGCTGAGGCAGGAGAATCACCTGAACCTGGCAGGCAGAGGTTGCAGTGAGCCGAGATTGTGCCAGTGCACTCCAGCCTAGGTGACAGAGCAAGAGTCCATCTCAAAATAAAAAAAAAAAAAGAAAGAAAAGATTGAGCAAGAGTTCACCAAATCATGCTCCTTACCCAAGGGGACTGGGCGAAGCTAGGGTAGCTGGCAGAACATATGACATTCCAAGACAGAGGTAGGCACATGTTACCTTAAAGGGCTAAATAGTAGGCGGGGGCACGGTGGCTCACGCCTATAATCCCAGCACTTTAGGAGGCCGAAGCAGGTGGATCACCTGAGGTCAGGAGTTCGAGACAAGCCTGACCAACATGGCGAAATCCCGTCTCTACTAAAAACACAAAATTAGCCAGGTGTGGTAGCGCATGCCTATAATCCCAGCTACTCGGGAGGCTGAGGCAGGAGAATCTCTTGAACCCGGGAGGCAGAGGCTGCAGTGAACTGAGATCACGCCACTGCACTCCAGCCTGGGCAACAAGAGCAAAAACTCCATCAAAAAAAAAAAAAAAAAAGAAAGAAAGAAAGAAAAGAAAGAAAAGAAAGAGCCAAATAGTAAATATTGTGGCTTTTTAGGCTTTACTTTCCCTAGATCTAAGTGATCTGAGGAGAGGCCACAGAAGTACTATGGATTGCTGTCACTGTTGCTATCAGGTCACAAAGATGAAGAGTGTGATATTTAGAGCACTTATTGAAGGCTTACTTTGTGCCAGGTACTAAGTACTTTTACCAGTACTATTAACTCATGCAACAGCTTTGAGATACGTAAACAGCAAAACTGGGGCACTGAGAATGAAGCCCCTATTAAAAATGTCTTCATTTTTTGTCAGTTTCAGAGCTCTGAACTGTGACACAGTATTAGTAATAAATTCTCAGTTCTCCCTGGCAGCTAGATAAGACATGCAACTAAATTCCAGCTCATAGGACATTAAGCAGAAGGGATGGGAGCTACCTCTGAACTTTTTCTGTAAAACAATAGGGCATTTGTGGCAGGGTAAGGTGGCTTACACTTATAATCCCAGAACTTTGGGTGGCCAAGGTGGGTGGATCACCTGAGGTCAGGAGTTCGAGACCAGCCTGGCCAATATGGTGAAACCTCATCTCTACTATAAATACAAAAATTAGCCGGGCGTGGTGGCACACACCTGTAGTCCCAGCGACTCGGGAGGCTGAGGCAAGAGAATCGCTTGAACCCAGGAGGCGGAGAATGCAGTGAGCCAAGATCATGCCATTGCACTCCAGCCTAGGCGACAAGAGCAAAACTCCATCTCAAAAAAAAAGTTACCTGGGTGTGTTGGTGCACACCTGTAATTCCAGCTACTAGGGAGGCTGAGGCTGGAGAATCGCTTACCCAGGGGGCAGAGGCTATAATGAGATGAGATCGTGCCACTCCACTCCAGCTCGGGCAACAGAGCCAGATTCGGTTCCCCCCAAAAATAAAAAAAGAAATAAAAGAATAGGGCATTAGTTCTCGAGGATGCTTGTCCTCTTCTCTTAAGCTGGGAGAGTCTTAAACTGAAGCAGCTGCTTTAGACCCTCAGATGGAAGCCACACGTTGAGAACAGCAAAGTCCATCAGTCAACAGCAGATAGCCTAACCTTAGAATTGTTGATAATGTCATTTCTCTCTTCAGTAGTTATGTTTCAGGACTTCTTGTTACAACAGCATAGCCTACATCCTAACATTTTAAATAGGTACCTTTTGTTAACTGTCAGAGTAAGCACACTTTAAAATGAGGTGAAGCATAATACATACCTCAGGAGAAACGTGAGAGGCAAAAAAATCTTCCTCCTTTGGTGGAGGGGACAAAGGTGGAACCACACAACTATCAAGCCACAGCTAGAACAAAAACACAACGCAGGGCTGAGCATTTCGTCCGGCCTGTAAAGGATTTTATTTGATACCCTTCACTTCCCTTATAGAGACCTGTTTCCTAAAGATTGGTGCTTTCCATTCTTATAAAATCAGTAACATCCCTACAGAGGACCTCTGAGTGCACTTTAGTAATCTATCATCCAGTAAATTTTGCTTCCAAACCTTGAGGAAGTCAAGTACCTCAAATACACAAACCATCTCTGAAAAGGAAAGATCAAAGACTTCATATCTAAATGCAGGTTCCCAACGATAATCAATCCTCGTTATTCACGGATTCCATATTTATGAATTTACCTACTTGCTAAAATTTACTTTTAACCCAAACTCAGTCCTTGTGGTGTTTTTAGTCATTTGGAGAATAGTGCAGCAAAAAATGAGTTGCCTGAGAACCATATTCTCAGCTGAGGTAAACAAGACACACTACTCTGGCCTTCTTGTTTCAGTTCTCATAACAAATGTCCTTTCTGTAGCTTCTTTCGTGCTACGTTCTTCATCTTTCCGTGCTTTTTATTGAGGACATCACTTTTTCAGATGCCTCTCAAGTGCAGCACTGAAGGGCTAGCTAACGTTCTGAAGCACGTGAAGGCTGTGATGTGCCTCATGCGGAGAAAATCCAGGCATTAAATAAGCTTCATTCAGGGCTCAGTTACAGTCCTTGGCTGTGAGTTCAACATTTGCGAGCCATCAATATATATTTAAAAAAGGTGTCTCTAAATAGAAACACATGTTAAATAAGGTTATGTATTGATCAGCTGACAAAAATGAGACCAGAGCTCATAGGAACCTAATCCTGTATTTCTCCTAGGAGCAATGTTTTAGTATTCGCTAATCCAGTACTCATGATGAATTTACAGAACATAACTACTTCAAATAGTAAGAATCTATTGTACACTAATTCCTTGTAAGACAACTCAGGTAGAAAAGTTTTACTATTCAGGATAAAAATCACTTTTTCTACTAAGTCAACATGTATCTAAAGGAGACAATGCAGCCTCCAGTGACTTACGTCAGTGCCATGCTTCCGTGTTGCTTGAGAGGCGAGCGATTTGATTTTCTCCCTGTAAAGCTGAGCAGCGCGACTGTTATACTTGGCATTGGTGTCACTGGTGGAACACCCATGTTGATGAAAAAAGGAAGACTACGGAGAAAAGCATGCAGATTAATATTTTGGTAAAACTAGTTATGGCCAGGTGTGGTGGCTTACACCTGTATCCCAGTACTTTGGGAGGCCAAGGCAGGTGGATCACGAGGTTGGGAGATCAAGACCATCCTAGCTAACACGGTGAAATCCCACCTCTACTAAAAATACAAAAAATTAGCCAAGCATGGTGGCAGGTGCCTGTAATCCCAGCTACTTGGGAGGCTGAGGCAGGAGAATGGTGAACCCAGGAGGCGGAGCTTGTAGTGAGTTGAGATCGTGCCACTGCACTCCAGTCTGGGAAACAGAGCAAGACTCCATCTCAGAAAACAAACAAACAAACAAAAAACAAACCAAAAACTAGCTATGAGACTTGCATTACAAAATGAAATAACTAGTCCTCATTTGTTCATTAAACCACCTCTGTCATTGTGAACTTCATTTGGGGAGAAGCTTTCTTCTCAGGACTACTTTTAATTCATGAGCAATCCATTTCTTTTCTTTTCTTTTTTCTTTTGAGACAGAGTCTTGCTCTATTACCCAGGCTGGAATGGAGTGGCTCCATCTCGGTTCACTGCAACCTCCACCTCCTGGGCTCAAGCGATCCCACCACCTCAGTCTCCCAAGTAGCTGGGACTACAGGTGTGTGCCACCACGCCTGGCTAATTTCTGTATTTTTTGTAGAGATGGGGTCTTGCTATGTTGTCCAGGCTAGTCTTGAACTCCTGAGCTCAAAGAATCCACCTGCCTTGGCCTCACAAAGTGCTGGATTACAGGCGTGAGCCACCGCTCCTGGCCCTTTTCTTTGTTTCTTGAGATGGTCTGACTCTGTCACTCAGGCTGGAGTGTAGTGTGGCATGATCATGGCTCACTGCAGCCTCCAACTCCTGGATTCAAGCAGTCCTCTCACCTTGGCTTCCCAAAGTGTTGGGATTAGAAGTGTGAGCCACCATGCCCAGTCCACAATCGATCTCAAAATGGATTCCAGTAAATCAGAATTTTTGACAAATTAGTGAGGAGCTACGTTAACATTCACCTCGTTCAACACTATTCTGTCATTAACAGAGACTACAATATAAGTAAGACGATAAAACAAGTATTTAAACAATTAAAAGAAACTGCTTTTACCCACTTCATGAGGATCCATGTACAGACATGAATTATAGAATTCATATCTTAATTAAAACAGGTCTTCTAAAAACCTATACAAGTGATCCTTTGATGAACCTGATTTGACTGATAATGATATTGGTCACCCACATGTTCCAGATCCTGTCGTGAGTGGTTCATGGGCATCATCGCATTCAATCCTCATAGCAACACTATCAGACAGTCAGTCACTACTCCTGTCTACACTTTACAGATGGGGACAATGAAGCACAGAGAGGTTCAACAACGTGCCCCAGATCACATGGGTAGCAAGGGACAGAGTTAGGATTCAAATACAAAAGGATGGTTCCAAGCCCATAACTTAGAGCTCCACTGGGTAAACTGAATGACCACTCATCTGAGCCTTCCCTCCCCATGTTCCCTGACCCCTGCTGGCTTGAGATGTCCCCTGACTCCTGCTGGCTTGAGATGTCCCCTGACTCCTGCTGGCTTGAGATGTCCCCTGACTCCTGCTGGCTTGAGATGCAAAAGCTCCTTTCTAGAGTTTGGAGGGTGACTCTGCAACCTTGGGAAGGCTTAGAAATAAGGACAGGTAAGTCAAACCAACAGGGCTAAGTTTAGGAACAAGTTTGTGAACGTCATGATAATGGGCAAAGGTTTCTAAAAAGATGCTTGAGGCTGGGCACAGTGGCTCATGCCTGTAATCCTAGCACTTTGGGAAGCCAAAGCAGGAGGATTGCTTGAGGCCAGGAATTTGAGACCGACCTGGGAACCAAAGTGAGATCACGTCTCTACAAACACCCAGAAAATAAATAAAAAATTAATAAGAAACACTGGCTGGGTCCGGCAGCTCATGCCTGTAATCCCAGCATTTTGGGTGGCCAAAGTAGGCAGATCACTTGAGCCTAGGAGTTCGAGACCAGACTGGCAAACATGGCAAAACCCTGTCTCTACTAAAAATGTAAAAAACTTGCTGTGCCTGGTGGTACTTGCCTATAGTCCCAGCTACTTGGGAGGCTGAGTGAATCACCTGAGCCCAGGAAGTTGAGGCTGCAGTGAGCTATGATTTTGCCACTGTACTCCAGCCTAGGCAACAGGAGTGAGACTCTATCTCAAAAAATAAGCTTGAAACATCTAAGGCATACTTTTTTCTTTCTTTCTTTTTTTTTTTTTTTTTGAGATGGTCTTGCTCAATTACCTAGGCTGGAGTGCAGTGGCACGGTGAACACCGTTCACTGTAGCGTCAACCTCCTGGACTCAAGTAATTCTTCTGCCTCAGACTCCCAAGTGGCTGGGACTACAGGCATGCACCACTATGCCTGGCTAATTAAAAATTTTTTTTTGTAGACTTTGTTGTCCAGGCTGGTCTTGAACTCATGAGCTCAAGTGGTCCTCCCGCCTCGGCCTCCCAAAGTTCTGGGATTACGGGTGTCAGCCACCATGTCTGGCTAGGCATATATTTTTAATTAAGAGGGGCAAAAATTGTTTCTTGAAAAGTGAAAAAAGGCTGGGCGCGGTGGCTCAAGCCTGTAATCCCAGCACTTTGGGAGGCCGAGATGGGCGGATCACGAGGTCAGGAGATCGAGACCATCCTGGGTAACACGGTGAAACCCCGTCTCTACTAAAAAATACAAAAAAACTAGCCGGGCGCGGTGGCGGGCGCCTGTAGTCCCAGCTACTCCGGAGGCTGAGGCAGGAGAATGGCGTGAACCCGGGAGGCGGAGCTTGCAGTGAGCTGAGATCCGGCCACTGCACTCCAGCCTGGGCGGCAGAGCGAGACTCCGTCTCAAAAAAAAAAAAAAAAAAAAAAGAAAAGTGAAAAAAAAAATCTTAGTTATTACAATGGTTTATGGCCTTCCAAAGATCACCTCTACCTGACAAAACTGTATTCCTTAGTATTTAATTTATCTCATTAGGGAAACATCGGATCCAATTTAAATGGAAAATTAATTGATTGATTTTAATGATTAGGGACTACGAAGAAAAAAGATTGAGAAACTAGCATTTTTGAAACTGCTATTATAGATTTCTGACTTTATTTGATATACACACACACACACACACACACATATATGTGTGTATATATATATATTTTTTTTTTTTCTTTTTGAGACAGGGTCTTGTTCTGTCACCCAGGCTGGAGTGCAATGGCATAATCACAGTTCACTGCAGCCTGGAACTCCTGGGCTCAAGTGATCCTCCTACCTCAGCCTCCTGAGTAGCTGAGGCTATAGGCAGGTTCCACTATGCCTTGCTAATTTTTAAGTCTTTCGTACAGATGAGGTCTCACTAAGTTGCCCAGGCTGGTCTTACACTCCTGGGCTCAAGTGATCCTCTTGCCTCAGCCTCCCAAAGTGTTTGGATTCCCGGCATGAGCCACCATGCCTGGTCATAATTTTTATTTGAAATGCATACAAATTTGATTTCTTATACTTTAGTGTATAAGAAACGCCTAAAGGAATTCCATTTACTCAATCTACACCATTTTGTCCTGATAAATAGGCTACCAGTGCTGTGCAAGATTTGGCTGGCTAGATTTGTGAGGCTGCCAGTTCAGTGTTTGAAATAATCAAATATACTGAATTTGTAAATAAAGTTTACAATGTTTGAAAATCCTTAATTAGGTTTGTAAATGGGGTTAAGGAAATCAGTTCTTTTAAAATTATAAATTAATATTTTAAGGTTGTTTTTTCACAGAACCTAACATACAGTATTTATATTTGTGTTTAGAAATTAACACACAATATTTGCTATATTTAAAGACGTGAAGAATGGGTTTTTTGGCCAGGCGCGGTGGCTCACGCCTGTAATTCCAGCACTTTGGGAGGCCAGGGCAGGTGGATCACTTGAGGTCAGGAGTTTGAGACCAGCCTGGCCAACATGGTGAAACCCTGTCTCTCCTAAAAATACCAAAAAACCCGGGTGTGGTGACGTGCGCCTGTAGTCCAGCTACTCAGGAAGCTGAGGCAGGAGAATCTTTTGAACCCGGGAGGTAGAGGTTGCAGCGAGCTGAAACAGTGCCACTGCACTCCAGGTTGGGCAACAGAGCCAGACTCTGTCTCAAAAAAAAAAAAGAATGGGTTTTGTAATTTATAGTTATGAAGTTAAATATTAATTCAAATACAAGCATTCCATCCTAACCACAAAAGTCACCCCAGTTATTAAAAAACTATTGTCATAAAGAAGCCTCCAGTTTCTCTGTACCCTTGTTTCCTGTTTTAATTTTCTTAAAGCACTTATCACTGCCTGTTATTTTCCTGTGAACATATTTCTTTGATCACTCTCTGACTGCCTCTGTCTATAAGAGGGGATCTTGGTTATTTTTACGTAGTATTTTGAGACAAGGTCTCACTCTATCACCCAGGCTGGAGCACAATGGCACCATCTCAGCTCACTGCAATCTCTACCTCCCAGGCTCAAGAAATCCTCCCACCTCAGCCTCCCGAGTAGCTGGGACTACAGGTATGCACCACCATGCTTTCCTAATTTTTGTATTTTTTGTAGAAACGGGCTTTTGCCATGTTGTCCAGGCTGGTCTTATATTCATGGGCTCAAGGTGATCTGCCTGCCTCAGCCTCCCAAAGTTCTAGGATGACAAGCATGAGCCACTGTGCCCAGTTGGGGATCTTGTTTGTCTTGTCTGTCACTGTATCCCCAGCACCTAGCCAACGTTTCCATTTTATTAGGTGTTTAACAGATTTTTCAATAAACAAGTCAACTGGGTCTGTCCAACTCCAAAACCCATCAGGCTCTCTGCTTCATCTCATAGGGCCTCCCAAACTTACAAGTATTGAACTCTTTTTGTTTGTTTTTTGGGGTGGAGTCTCGCTCTGTCACCCAGGCTGGAGTGCAGTGGTCTGATCTCGGCTCACTGCAACCTCTGCCTCCCAGGTTCATGCAATTCTCCCGTCTCAGCCTCCCGAGTAGCTGGGATTACAGGTGTGTGCCACCATGCCTGGCTAATTTTTGTAATTTTTTTTTTTTTTTTTTAGTGGAGACGGGGTTCCTCCATGTTGGCCAGGCTGGTCTCGAACTCCTGACCTCAAGTGATCCGCCCACCTCAGCCTCCCAAAGTGTTGGGGTTATAGGCGTGAACCACTGCGCCCGACCTGTTTGTTTTTTATAAATAGAGGGTCTTGCCATGTTGCACAGGGTGGTCTTGAACTCCTGGGCTCCAGTGATCCTCCATCTCAGCCTCCCAAACGGCTGAGATTACAGGTATGAGCCACTGCACGTAGCCTGAGCTTCTTTACTATTATAGCATAACAAATATTTAAACAAGAAGGAAAATGATGAGTTTGAGATGAACTTACTGCATTAGCGTTTCCTCCGACTTGCATGCATCGCAACTGAAACCATGACCAGTTAGAATCCAACTCTGTAGATCTAAATGGAAAGAATATTACTAAACATTAATATTTTTTATCCCCAGGATCAAAATCAGCGAGCTTTTGAGAACAAGGTTTCCTTTTTAGGATCCTAAAGAATTCTAAGTTTGTGTCAACAAGGACCCACACTTTTGGGATGCCAGGACTCCAGAGTGGATGATGGCTGGTGCGAGCAACCCCTGGCTCCTCTCGTCCTTGCTGGAATGCAGGGCATGGGGACATGACAAGTGTCAGCAGGCTGCTGGAACACCACCAACCCTTTGCCTCCTATCCTTGGTTGGGTATGATTTAAAATTTGTTAATGCGTCTCTACTCGAAACAGATGCACTGTTTGGATGTTTTCATGTCGGTGATCTACTTGTCCAGTTTGATCCCTACCAGAAGCTTGGAGGATGCTCATTCTCTCATTACAAGGTAGAAGAGACCTACCCAACATCACGACCGGCAGGGAGAGGAGAAAACACAAGATTTCATGCTCCTGAAGTGAAAGCTACAAGCACTTCCTGCCCCTGCCACACCTTATGCCTGACTTCTCTCCACTGTAAGATCAAATCTGAAACAAGGCATTGAGTATAGCTTCAACAATGCACATTCACCAAGGGGTCGATTGTAAAGCAACAATGTTAGAATCTTTATACTGAATCCACAGAAATGAGCAAAAAGCAGAGGCTGTTATTCAGTAATAACTTGCCTTACACTAACTGTAAAGGAATGTGGATATTTTAGAATGGGTATACGTAGAATACCTTTTACAAAACGGGCAAGGAAAAAAAGAAAAGAATTGTGCTGCCCTTATATTTACTAATTTCTTTCTTTCTTTTTGAGACAGGGTCTCACTCCGTCACCCAGGAATGTAGTAGTGTGATCACAGCTCACTGCAGCCTCAACCAGGATTGCTCAAGAAATCCTCCTGTCTCAGCCTCCCAAGTAGATGGTAGCCACCATCCCTGGCTTTTTTTTTTTTTGAGACGGAGTTTTGCTCTTGTTGCTCAGGCTGGAGTACAATGGTGCGATCTTGGCTCACTGCAACCTCCACCTCCTGGGTTCAAGCGATTCTCTTGCCTCAGCCTCCCAAGTAGCTGGGATAACAGGCATGTGTCACCACGCCCGGTTAATTTTTGTATTTTTAGCAGAGACAGGGTTTTTCCATGTTGGTCAGGTTGGTCTTGAACTCCCGACCTTAGGTGATCCACCTGCCTTGGCCTCCCAAAGTACTGTGATTACAGGCATGAGCCACCGTGTCCGGCCTTTTTTGTTTGTTTGTTCTTTGTTGTTTTTTAATAGAGATAGGGTCTTGTGTTGCCCAAGCTTGTCTAGAACTTCTGAGCTCAAGCAATCCTCCCACCTCAGCCTCTCAGTGTTGGGATTACAGGTGTGAGCCACCATGCCCAGTGAACCATACCTTTTATTTTTTTTTTGACACAGAGTCTCTGTCTCCCAGGCTAGAGTGCAGTGATGCGATTTCAGCTCATTGTAACCTCTGCCTTCTGGATTCAAGCAATTCTTGTGCCCCAGCCTCCAGAGGTAGCTGGGAATAGAGGCGTGCGGAACCACACCTGGCTAATTTTCATAATTTTAGTAGAGACGGGGTTTCGCCATGTTGGCCAGGCTAGTCTCAAACTGCTAGCCTCAAGCAATCCCCTCATTTCAGCCTCCCAAAGTGCATACCACTATTAATCTAGAGTTTTACTTATAGACAAGCTCAGTAACTACTTCCCAGCAGCCCTTTGTTTATAATTTGTTTGATTAACTCTATAAGGTCATGAACCTGGGAAGCAGAGGTTGCAGTGAGCCAAGATCACACCACTGCACTCCAGCCTGGGTGACAGAGCGTCTCTACTAAAGACCCTTTCTACACTAACATCATAAAAAGATTCTCCCCAGTGTCCACCGAGCAGGAGCCCAGATTCTGCCCTGGTCATCATCAACGTGTTCTAGGGCTCACCATGTGCCAGGCTTTATGGGACTCTCTTGCTCGCTCCTGCCAACATCCTACATGGCAGGTCCTAGTATTCTTACCCTCACTTTCAAGAGAAGGAAAGTAAGACATTCAGAGGTAAGGAACACACACCCAAGGCCAGGAAAGGACAGCTCAGATTTGCCCTCCCCCACCGCCCTGCCCCACCGCATCCCAGCTCCTGCATCCTCAGCCTGGGTCCTCACCTCTTCCTGACGTTGTCTCCTGCTCTGCCCAGGCTGGGTCGGCCTCCCTACATGCCTCACCCCTCCAGGGCCTCAGGAGTGAAGTATTAGTTCCCAGCCCGGCAGCTAAGGAGCTCCACAATATGACACAGATCCTCTCCTTTAACCCTTACTTCTCTTTATTTTCCTATGCATACAAAAACTTACTACGAGGCATTTCGCTTTTTCCTACTTCTATATCTGAAGGTCCGAGCACTGACCTCAATATTCCCTCCCTTGTCTCCATTATCTTTTTTTGTTGTTGTAGAGATGAGGTCTCACTATGTTGCCCAGGCTGGTCTTAAACTCCTGGGCTCAAACTATCTTCCAACCTCGGCCTCCCAAGTGCTGGGATTACAGGCGCAAGCCACCATGCCCAGCCTTGTCTCCATTATCAAAACCTCACCAAACCTTCCAAGTTCATCGCAAACATTACCTCTTTTAAACTTGCCCTAATTTTCCAACCAGAAGTGGGCACAGGACTTAGTTTCCAACTCTGATGCATAACTTTGCAGTCCATCTTCTTATTTACGTTGTATTTAAGCCTGTCCCTAACCCCATGCCAACGAGATAGATGCAGGGATCCCATTCACCTTTAATAAGCTCATGAAATACATAACGGCAAACTTGAGAAGAAACAGAGCTAGAGGGGAAGAGTAGCCTGAAACATGGAGATCCCAGCAATGGAGGTGAAAAGGGGCAGAGGTCAGTTCAATCAGGTCCACTGTGGGAGCAGTCAGCAACCAATGCAGCTTGCGCTCTCCATATATTCTTAATCTGCCTTCCCCCTTTTGCTTGGCAAAAGCCATAACTTATAAATTATTTTTCCTCTGTAAATTTGACTTGAAATTCTAGTTAAAGAAAAAAAACTCCACTTAAACATGCACACCACCCATGCCACACAGGAAGCTGTGTGTGTGTGTGTGTGTGTGTGTGTGTGTCTGGCAGTGGGAGGGGAAGAAGAGGGGAAAAGTATTCTAGAGGAGAGACTTCATATTTTGGGGCTGCTTGGATTTTTTCCCAGTTAGCTAGTGGTGTTTTTTTATTTTTTATTTATTTTATTTTATTGAGTCAGGGTCTTTGTTCTGTCACCTAGACTGAAGTGAAGTAGTAAGATCATAGCTCACTACAGCCTCAAACCCCCAGGCTCAGCCAGGTGCTGAGGCTCATGCCTGTAATCCCAGCACTTTGGGAGGCTGAGGCGGGTGGATCACATGAGGTCAGGAGCCCATGACCAGCCTGGCCAACATGGTGAAACCCCGTCTCTACTAAAAATACAAAAATTAGCTGAGTGTGGTGGCGCACACCTGTAATCCCAGCTACTGAGGAGGCTGAGGCAGGAGAATCACTTGAACCCAGGAGGTGGAGACTGCAACGAGCTGAGATCGTACCATTGCACTCCAGCCTGGGCGACAGAATGAGGCTGTCTAAAAGAAAAAGATAAAAAACAAAATAAACAAGCAAATAAAAAAAACAAAAAAAATCCTAATCTCAAGTGATCCTTCCACCTTGGCCTCCCAAAGTGCTGGGATTACACGTGTGAGCCACTGTGTCCGGCCCCCTAATTTTTTTAGGAATAAAAAATTTAAAGAATAGCTCTTCTCTGCCTTAAAAATAACAAAAACCATACTCAGTACCTTCTCATCCTTGACTTTCTCTTGCCCAAATCCTAGACTCCTGCCCTAAGATTGTATCATGAATTTTAATTGTTGTTTTTGAATCATTTACAAGCATTGTAATTCATACAGTTCTATTTATCTGACTTTTAAAAGGTCAGTGATTAAACCTGCAGTGGCCCAAACAGATCCTGCTGTACCACCCTCAGGCTCTAGCTCAGTCCTTGCCTCAGGGAGGAACACATCATAAAACCACCCAATTTCCTGGAATGGCTTAAACCAGAAGTATTCTTAAGTGATGAGGAAGAAGGAGAGCCAGATTATAATGGGCGAGACTTAGTAGAAAGAAGGAGGGAAAGAACACAGTAAAGACAGAAGGAAGAGAAGCGACTAGGTATTGGAGTCTAGTCTTCACCTGCTCTGGGCAGGGAAGGTTACCATAAGTTAACTGGTAATGATCAATCTGGAAAACAAAGTACACTAAAAACAAGCTTCAGCCGGGGTAATCCCAGAACTTTGGGAGGCTGAGGTGGGCGGATCACCAGAGGTCAGGAGTTCAAGACCAACCTGCCCAACATGGAGAAACTCTTGTCTCTACTAAAAATACAAAAATTAGCCAGACGTGGTGGCACATGCCTGTAATCCCAGCTACTCAGGAGGCTGAGGCAGGAGAATCACTTGAGTCCGGAAAGCAGAGGTTGCAGTGAGCTGAGATCGGGCCACTGCACTCCAGCCTGGGCGACAGAGTGAGACTCCGTCTCAAAAACAAACAAACAAACAAACAAACAAACAAAGAATTATAATAGATTTTATCTTATAGGAACCAATGCTCCTTCTTAATAATCACGTTGTATCAATATTTCAATATTCCGTAAGTCATAATATAAGATTGCTTGCCACAATTCCAAATGGGCAGCCTAACTGGTTCCTTCCCTAGAAAAGATGCAGTAGGGAGGCCAGGCGCGGTGGCTCACGCCTGTAATCCCAGCACTTTGGGAGGCCGAGGCGGGCGGATCACAAGGTCAGGAGATCGAGACCACGGTGAAACCCCGTCTCTACTAAAAATACAAAAAATTAGCCGGGTGCGGTGGCGGGCGCCTGTAGTCCCAGCTACTCAGGAGGCTGAGGCAGGAGAATGGCGTAAACCCAGGAGGCGGAGCTTGCAGTGAGCCGAGATCGCGCCACTGCACTCCAGCCTGGGCGACAGAGCGAGACTCCGTCTCAAAAAACAAAACAAAACAAAAAAAAAAAAAGATGCAGTAGGGAAATCTCTGGATTGTCTGGGGAAGGCAGCAATGACTAAGCCATGGCTGTTTGAGGGTGCCCTGCAGAAGCTGTCCCGGCAAGGGCCTGTGGCAGCTGACATGCAGGCCTTGCTTGGCTTCCAAGCCCTGGGGATCTTTCCATTATTTCTTCTATTATTTCAATTTATTTCACTTCACAAATAGTCCTGCCTCCCACTGGCCTGTGGGGTTATCCCATCAGACTGTCTGTCCAAAGGTGGTGTCTTCTGACGCTTTGCATAGGCCCCATATGGGCTATTGCTGTTAAGTATCAGAAGTAGAAGATGGTTTACTCACCACAGGGGCCAATGCAACCCAAGTCTTCAGATAAAAGGAGAAAAAAGACCTTCATGTTATATACATTTGAAACTGCTACTAAAAATCATTCACTCAGGCTTTGTGATATTAGTGTCCTTGGAAGCCAGAGCTGTAAGATTACGCTGGAAGTGAAGCCCTGATGCAAGGAGAGTGTCTCATCATTGACATAAACTCTCCACTTTGGTGGACATAGGACAGACCCACAGCACCTGATTCCCCTTCTCCCATGGGTCGGTACTTCGTACTGATGAATTATTAGAAGATAAATTGTCATAAATTGGTTTTCCATTGCTTGTAACACAATTCCTGAAACTGGGTAATTTATAAAGAAAAGAAGTTGATTTCTTACAGTTAAGGAGGCTGAGAAGTCCAAGGTCAAGGGGCTACATCTGGTGAGAACCTTCTTTTTTTTGAGACGGAGTCTCGCTCTGTCGCCCAGGCAGGAGTGCAGTGGCACGATCTCGGCTCACTGCAAGCTCCGCCTCCCGGGTTTGCGTCATTCTCCCGCCTCAGCCTCCCAAGTAGCTGGGACTACAGGCGCCCGCCACCACGCCCGGCTAATTTTTTGTATTTTTAGTAGAGACGGGGTTTCACCATGTCAGCCAGGATGGTCTGGATCTCCTGACCTCGTGATCTGCCCGCCTCGGCCTCCCAAAGTGCTGGGATTACAGGCGTGAGCCACCGCGCCCGGCCCGGTGAGAACTGGCTGGACTCTGCAGAGTCCAGAGGCAGCACAGGCCATCAACTAGTGAGAACGCTGAGCATGCTAGCTCAGGTCTCTCTTCCTCTTCCTATAAAGCCGCTCACATGATAGCCCATTAATCCAGGAATGGATTAATCCATCCATGAGGGCTCAATCACTTCTTAAAGGCCTCACTTTGGCTGGGCACGGTGGCTCACGCCTGTAAACCCAGCACTTTGGGAGGCCGAGACGGGCGGATCACGAGGTCAGGAGATCGAGACCATCCTGGCAAACATGGTGAAACCCCGTCTCTACTAAAAATACACAAAAATTAGCTGGGCATGGTGGTGGGTGTCTGCAGTCCCAGCTACTCAGGAGGCTGAGCCAGGAGAATGGCGTGAACCCGGGAGGCGGAACTTGCAGTGAGCCAAGATCGCACCACTGCACTCCAGCCTGGGCGACAGAGCAAGACTCCGTCTCAAAAAAAAAAAAAAAAAAAAGGCCTCACCTTTTAATATCGTATGGCAACACTGAAAATCAAATTTCTTTCTTTTCTTTTTTTTTAAGAGACAGGGTCTCACTCTGTCACCCAGGCTGGAATGCAGCAGCATGATCATAGTTCACTGCAGCCTTGACTCCTGGGCTTAAGTGATCCTCCCACTTCAGCCTCCCGAGTAATCAGGACTACAGTTATACATCATCACACCACAACATTTTTTATTTTTTTGTAGAGGCTGAGTTCGCTTGAGCCCAGTGAGCTATGATGGCACTACTGCAGCAAAGGTGACAGGTGACAAGGCAAGACCCTGTCTCAAAAAAAGAAAAGAAAAAAGGGGAAAAAAAAACACCCATGTAACAATGTAATCACTTTCACCCCAATGAGAGAAGATTCACTTACCGAATAAAACTCAAGTGAACACCAAGTGACCGGTGGGACCCGGAGCAATCAATGCAAAGGAACACTCCATAGGTTATGCTCGCCCAGCTGGGATTTTTGGCACCACAATCAAAACACACCTGGAAAAAAAAAAAGCTAAATTCAGTTACTAATTTATGTTAGCCAAATAAATTATCCTATAAGATACAGTAAATGACTTAGCTTGAAAACTGCTTAACCTTTATAATGTAAACTTTGGGATTGTAATATTAGAAAGTATCTCATCTAGGTTTTTTTAAAAAGCCTCATATTTCATGTTCTTTTATTATTATATATAATTATATTAATTATAAATTAGGGCCGGGCGCGGTGGCTCAAGCCTGTAATCCCAGCACTTTGGGAGGCCGAGATGGGCGGATCACGAGGTCAGGAGATCGAGACCATCCTGGCTAACACGGTGAAACCCCGTCTCTACTAAAAATACAAAAAACTAGCCGGGCGAGGTGGCGGGCGCCTGTAGTCCCAGCTACTCAGGAGACTGAGGCAGGAGAATGGCGTAAACCTGGGAGGCGGAGCTTGCAGTAAGCTGAGATCCGGCCACTGTACTCCAACCTGGGCAGCAGAGCGAGACTCCGTCTCAAAAAAAAATAAAAAAAATAAAAAAATTATAAATTAGTAGAGTTAATTACTATATTATGTATTTTTTTTTTTTTTTTTTTTTTTTTTTTTTTTTGTGAGACGGAGTCTCGCTCTGCCGCCCAGGCTGGAGTGCAGTGACTGGATCTCAGCTCACTGCAAGCTCCGCCTCCCGGGTTCACGCCATTCTCCTGCCTCAGCCTCCCGAGTAGCTGGGACTACAGGCGCCCGCCACCTCACCCGGCTAGTTTTTCGTATTTTTCAGTAGAGACAGGGTTTCACCGTGTTAGCCAGGATGGTCTCGATCTCCTGACCTCGCGATCCGCCCGTCTCGGCCTCCCAAAGTGCTGGGATTACAGGCTTGAGCCACCGCGCCCGGCCTATATTATGTATTTTTTTATTTTGAGACAGAGTCTCGCTTTGTCACCCAGGCTGGAGTGCAGCAGCACGATTTCGGCTCACTGCAACCTCTGCCTCCCAGGTTCATGCCATTCTCCTGCCTCAGCCTCCTGAGTAGCTAAGACTACAGGCGCCCGCCATCACAACCGGCTAATTTTTTGTATATTTAGTAGATACAGAGTTTCACCGTGTTAGCCAGGATAGTCTCAATCTACTGACCTCATGATCTGCCCACCTCGGCCTCCCAAAGTGCTGGGATTACAGGCGTGAGCCACCCCGCCTGGCCTATCGTGTATATGTTTTAAAAACGCACACTATACATAGTGAAGAGAATTTAGGTTTGTGTACCATCTCAAACATGCCTTATCCTTGAAGCTTCAGCAAGGATCCTACCAGTCATGTAAAGGAATGCTAGTGAGGGAACAGCCCTGCCTGGGAACACTCTAGCCCTACCATCCTTCCTGGCACTGGCTATACCAGATGGTAGGCTGTTGCACATATTTCTTCTCTCCCCAGCCCGAGGAAGAAGTTGTGGCAGCCAGACTCCAAGACGGCCCCAATGAAACCCACCTCCTGGTATTCACGTCCTGTGTAATCTCCATCCTCACTTTACCAAGGTGATCTGTGTGTCTGTGTGTGTGTATGGCAGAAATGACCATGTCATTTTTGAGACTGGGTTACAAATGACACTATGGCTTTTTCTTCTCTCCCCCACTCTCTTTTTCTCTCCCCCTGCTCCCTCTCTACCTTGGATCATGAGCTCTAGGGGAAGCCAGGTGCCATGTCTTGAGGACGCTCAGCTAGCTCTGTGGAAAGGGTGAAGTGCTGAGGAACTGAGGCCCTCGGTCCAACTGCCAGCGAAGAGAGGAGGCCTGCAACCACCATGTAAGCTCCCAGATGACCTCAGCCCTGGCCAACAGCTTGACTGCAGCCTCATGAAAGACCCTGGGTCAGAAGCAGCCAGCTAAGTCACCCCAAATTCCTGACCCTCAGAACTATCTGTTGTTTTATATACTAAGCTGGGGGCGATCTGATACGCAGCAACAGATAACTAATACAGAGAGAGATTCCTTTATGAAATGCTGTGCCCTTCTCTACCTCCACCACCTCACTCTATCCAGGTCACTTTGATAACTCTTAGATGCATGTTCATAACCGAGGACTATGTCCCCTGCCCACTGAGAGCCCTGAGAGCTCTTACAGGGGTAAAATCTTTCCCTTTCGCCAATCTTTACGGTTTTTTTTTTTTTTTAAAGAGACAAGGTCTGGCTCTCACTTAGGCAGGAATGCAGTGGCATGGTCCTAGTTTGCTGCTTTATGGCTTTTCCTGGCTCTGTCACCTAGGCTGGAGTGCAGTGGCACGGTCCTACTTTGCTGCTTTACGGCTTTTCTTGGCTCTGTCACCTAGGCTGGAGTGCAGGGGCACGGCCCTAGCTCACTGCAGTCTCGAACTCTTGAGCTTGAGCCATCCTCCCACCTCAGCCTCCTAAGCAGTTAGGACAAGTGTACGCCACCACGCCCAGCTAATTTTTTTTTTTCTTTTGTAGAGACAGGGGTCTTGCTATGTTGCCTAAGCTGGTCTTGAACTCCTAGGCTCAAGCAATTTGGCCCTCTCGGCCTCCCAAAATGCTAGGATTACAGGTGTGAGCCACCACGTCCGGCCCCTGTCATGTCACCTTGTTTTCCTGTTTACTAGAACAGAACCTGCACATGGTAAATGCACAATAAGTGTTTGCTGAATAGCTGTGTACTTTTAAATCTCACACACAGTCTGAAAAACAGGCTTACCCATGGTATGGTAAGCATTCAGTAAATATTTGTTAATCAAAAGAAAAACTTTAAAAACTTATTGCCAGCTCAAAAATTATTACTTGCCCCTTCAACACTGACACTGAAGCCCAACATTCTTCACCAACAGGAGCATAAAAGTACTTTAAAATACACAGTGCTGGCCGGGCGCGGTGGCTCAAGCCTGTAATCCCAGCACTTTGGGAGGCCGAGATGGGCGGATCACGAGGTCAGGAGATCGAGACCATGCTGGCTAACACGGTGAAACCCTGTCTCTACTAAAAAATACAAAAAATTAGCCGGGCGAGGTGGCGGGCGCCTGTGGTCCCAGCTACTCGGGAGGCTGAGGTGGGAGAATGGCATGAACCCAGGAGGCGGAGCTTGCAGTGAGCTGAGATCCGGCCACTGCACTCCAGCCTGGGCGACAGAGCGAGACTCCGTCTCAAAAAAAAAAAAAAAAATACACAGTGCTAACTAGCAGAGTCACACATGGGAAGTGTGCTGGGCCCATAAAATACACAGTGCTTGCTGTGGAAAGTAGTATTTATAACTCATTAAACTCAGAATAGGAAAAAAAAAAATCCTCCAATAGAATTGTTTTTAATCTTTCTGCAGGAAAAAAAAAATGTATTAGATAATTAGATATATACGCTGGGTGCAGTGGCTGACACCTGTAATCCTAGCACTTTGGAGGCCAAGGCAGGTAGATTGCTTGAGTTCAGGAGTTTGAGACCAGCCTGGGCAACGTGGCGAAACCCTGCCTCTACCAAAAAAACAAAAAAAAATTAGCCAGCGTGGTGGAACACGCCTGTAGTCCCAGCTACTCAGGAGTTTGAGGTGAGAGGATCGCTTGAGCCTGGGAGGCAGAGGATGCAATGAGCTGAGATCACTCCACTGCACTCCAGCCTCAGCAACAGTGAGACCTTGCTATAAAAAATTTAAAAAATAAAAAAATGTAAAAAAAGTTTATAGGCAGAACCACTTATGTGAAGGCTGTCCAACCTATCATTATCAAGCAAGATCTGGCTTCTGGTCTTTTGAGGGCAATACAAGAGAGGAAACACCAGTGGGTTTTTTTTTGTTTTTTTTTTTGAGATGGAGTCTCGCTCTGTCGCCCAGGCTGGAGTGCAGTGGCCGGATCTCAGCTCACTGCAAGCTCCGCCTCCCGGGTTTACACCATTCTCCTGCCTCAGCCTCCCGAGTAGCTGGGACTACAGGCGCCCGCCACTTCGTCCGGCTAGTTTTTTGTATTTTTTAGTAGAGACGGGGTTTCACCGGGTTAGCCAGGATGGTCTCGATCTCCTGACCTCGTGATCCGCCCGTCTCGGCCTCCCAAAGTGCTGGGATTACAGGCTTGAGCCACTGCGCCCGGCCTACGAGTGGGTTTTCTAAAGCCCCTCACCACGATATGCTCACACTGATGGCACATTGAATAATGGGGGTGGAGTGACAACTGACACAAAAAGAGGCCAGGGGATTCACTTTGGTGTTTACTGATTACCTGCTGTATGTCAGACATGTGGCAGTTGATGAGGTATGAAAAAGTAGCAGCGCAAATACTAGCAGAACCCCTACTGGTGCCAGTCTTTAAAGAGCTCACTGAGAAGTGGGGAAGACACGCAAATTCAAATGCCCTGTGGTGATGGCCATTAGGGGAACCCTCTTCTATGGGGCATCAAACAACACAACAGACTCTGCCAAAAGATGCTGTTCTTCCCCATCAGGCTGTTTGTAATTTCTCACCTAGTCACTCAACTACCAGTTGCTGTGCACTTACTGTCAAGTGTACCTGGCACATACCAAGTGGACATACCAGCATGGTTCAGGAAGTCTGCCCACATGGAGCCCACAGTCTAGCAGTCCAGTGGGCAAGACAATTGGTTACAAGATTGTTTCCTAGTAAGCAAGGACAGGATGCAAAGGGTTTTTGGTAGAGGTGATGGCAGAGATTTTGGGTACACAGCCCAGAGCGGGCCAAGTTTGAGAATCACTTCTAAGGTGGTCACCAGACTGGCCACAAGAAGAGAGCACTGAGGTTCCTAATGAGGGAGGCAGCTTTGGCATCCTCCTGACCCATCACCTAAGCTAAAGGATTGCTAAAATGTAGCCCCATGAGGAGGGGCCACGTCTACCTTATTCACTTGAACTTGGCACCATGCCTGGCACAACACAGGTGCTCACTAAATGCAAATGCACATGGTGGAGCAGTTTGTAGGGGTAGAGGAGCTAACAAGTGGAGACTGGGACATGTGGAGGTCAGAAGTGGTGAGAAATACAGGTCTAGCTCCCATAAATGCTGCCTTGATCCTCCTGCTAT